AAGAAATTCAGATACCAACTTGAATCTACAAGAACAGGAAATTAAGAGAACTAGAAATGATAAATAAGGTCAATTAAAACAAAAGCTATAAATATGTACTTGCTTACCTTTATTTTTCCAGCTTCTTTAACAGATATAATCATTATAACAATATATTGTTGGGTTTATAACATTTATAGACACAATATGTACAAAAATTGTATCACAAAAAAGCAGGGAAACAATAAAACTATATTGGAGTATTAATCTCATTGGAATTAGGTTGTTACAAATCTGAAGGCGATTCTAATAAGTTAAGATGTATATGGTAAATCCTAGAGCAACCACTAAAGCATTAACTTTTTAAAATGTGAAAAAAATGGTTAAAAAATTAAACTGCTACCGTAGAAAATACTCACTTAATGCAAAATAAGGCAGTAAAGAAGAAACAGAGGAACAAAAAAAGATGAGACATATAGAAAACAAGTAAAATGGGAGACATAAACCTAACAATATCAATAAAATTGAACATAAATGGAGTAAACAATCTAATCAAAAGGCACATCATTAAACTAAAAATAAATCAAGATACAACTATGTGCTGTCTACAGGAGACACACTTTAGATTGAATGGTACAAACTGTGCAAGCAGCGACCATAAGAAAGCTGTAACATCAGGCAAAATGAACTTCAAAATTTTTAAAAAATGTTACTAGAGAAAAAGAAGGACGTTTTTAATAAGTGTTAATTCAACAGGAAGCTATAATATTTATAAACATGCATGCATCTAATAACAGAGAACCAAAAAAAAATAGCAAAAACTCACAGAAATGAAGGTAGAAATGGACAACTCAGCAATACACATATTAGGTCTTTAAGAGCCCATTTTCAATAGACATCTAATAGGTTCTGAAATATATGACTTCATTTTCCCCTCACATAAAATCTGCTCCTCTTTGTCTAAGTGGCAATTACATCCATCCAATCACTCAAGCCAAACTATTTAAGTCTCTCTCACACCCCACATTCAAGCAATTTGTGAATTCTGCACGTTGTTCTTTCACAATATACCCAGAATCCAACCACCTTTTCTATTTCCACCTGGTTTAAACCACCATCCTCACTCACCAGGATTACTGAATTACACTCCTAACTGGATTCCACCTTTCCTCCCCTGATCCCTGCTATCTCCATACAGCAGCAAAGTGACCCTTCTAAAACAAATTGCCATCCCTTGACCCTGCAGGTCTTACTATCCAGTAATTTTAAATGAAATCCACATCCTGTAAGATCCTTTCCCAGCTTTATTTCCTTACTTCTTTAACCACTGCACTCTCCACACTGACTTCTTTGCTCTACTCAGAAAGTAATTAAACTGAATTTACAATGCACTCCTATTTTTAAAATATCATTAATATAGGTATAAATGTATAGCAAAGTGAATTATAAAATGTGAATAAAATTTATCTACAGGTAGTAAATTATAAACAATATTCATTTTCTTATTGCAAAAAGATTTCTAATTTATGTATTATGCTTTTATTACTATGTAATAAAATGTATAAAAAACTGTGTATAATACCCCTTACATCCAGTGGTGATAGTATTTAACTATATACGAAATTTGGAAATAAACCATGTGAGTCACAAAAAAAATCAGAAAACAAAATAAAACATTTATACACAAAACTAGTATTTACCAATATGTGCTCCATACACTGCCATTTATTATTTCATTTAATTCTTATAATAACCCCATGTGCTGAGAACGATTATTTTTATGCTACTCATATAATATTATGCTCAAAAATGTTAAATAAATTGTATGAAGTTGCAAAGCAAGGGATGAGGTCCAGATCTCTCCGACTTGGTCATGTTCTAAATACGATTGTAGATATTGTCTCATCATACTCACACACGATGGTGGAAAACTGAAAGGACTTAGACAACCAGTAACAAAGGAAAGGAACATCGTCTAGTTTTACAAGTATTTACTGAAACTGCAATTATGCAAAAATTGATAGGCATGTTACATGAAAAAGCAAACTATCACATTTTACACCTAAGTACAAGAAAATTTAATATTTCATATGGAAATAGGCCAACATAAGCCAATACATTAATGTTGGGTCTGTTAGGGTAATAGAACTCTGGGTGTTTTTTGTTTCCCATTGCTTTGCCCTATTTTCTAGATTTTTATGAACCCACAAGAACTGCTTTAAAACAAACAAAAAAGCTAATTTTCACGAAACGAAGGGAAAAGTTCTTGTTTCTCGATAAGGGAAAAAATCAGCCTAACGACTTCCCAAACGGCAACAAGTCCCAAGTCTAGATTGAAACTGGAGTATTATCCAAAAGGCGATCTACAACGTTTTCCTATCTGGGTACTTTCCGTGAACCAGTTCTCCAAACCACTTTATGGTGCACTTCGTTGTTTATAGCCTACGTTATAATGAGCCTATTGAGAGCTTAACGCTATCGATTATGACAGTGTAGCTTAATTTAATAACCCTTTTCCAAGAGAGGAACATAATTCAAAGGCATTTTCAAACTACTTCTAGAATAGTATCTTGTATGAAAATAATAACACGTACAAGGAAGCACAGATGGCAAGAAAAAAATGTTAAAAAATGCAGGCTTGTCCCCAAAACCTCGTCTCCGGGCCAATAAACGTTCGGTATTGTCTCGGTGGCGGCGTCAAGCGCTGGGCTTTCAACGTCTCTTGAGCAGGAGAGTCAACCTCCACTTTACTGAATGCGGCCGCCGCGGGGTTCAGCACACTGTGTTAGCTACGGGGGGCCTGGTAGGCCTGGGCGGTCTATTTGCTTGGTAGGCGGGCACGCCGGCAGGCTTCACGGTTCTGGAAAACCACCTCGACTGTAAAGTCAGCAATAGTGCCGAGTCTCACAAAGGTTGAGAAGAAGCTGGCTCAGCCCTACTGAACAGACGCCTCAGCGGGGCGGAGCGGGCGGCTCGAGGGCAGGGGCTACAAGCCGGCGGCTCAGCCTAGATTAGCAGCTTCAGGGCAGGAAATACCAGGGATTGCAGACTGCAGCACTCAGATCCGCCGACGCCTTCCGTGGACGTACGCTCGCAACTCCCGGAGCGGTGCGCAGGCCCGGCGCCCACCCACTAGAAAGCGCGGGCTTGTTCTCTGAGGCCCCGCCCCTCCAGGAAATAACCCGAGGCAGGTTCTACCCCTTAGCTGCCTCTGCCGGGTTTCCTGCGAAGTGACAAGTTCCAGAACAGGTTTCCGGAGCAAAGGTTGTTGAACTGGAGGAGGAAAAGCGGCAAGAATGAACGGTTGGGGTTATAGTTTGAAAATGAAATGTTGCGCTTAAATTTATGGTTTAATAAACGCTTGCTGCATGATTAAAGTAGTAAGATGTTTGCTTTAACTCTGTCATCAAAAAAAACCATTCTTCCAAAACTGCAACAACAACATAAGTGTGCATGGTGTGTATGTTATATGCAGTGACTACTGACAACTCTGAATGATGTCCACAAATGTCCTATCCTCTCCTCGGGGCCTGTAGACTCGTGCCTACGGTTTCTGTATGAAGTCAATTCATTTCATATTTCCTCTTTTCCTGTGGCCTTCTATTTTACCAGCAATATTGTCTTTTCCAAAAGACCCTGCGTTCTCATGTGCCCGAGGTACAGTAGCTTAAATTTTGCCATTTTTTGCCTGTGGTGTTTCAGGCTTAATTTGCTCTAGGACCCACATGTTCGTTTTTTCACCTATCCAGGGTGTCCACAGTTTGGGGTGAGTCCTTGACAACTCCCCTTCCTAGTGTACACTCCGTACTGGTAGTACCTTGCAAACTAATTTGGTGAGATTTTAAAGGAAGTATTTTGCCAGCATCGTTTTCTGAAAATTATTTTTACTATGCTCTTAAGAAAAAAAACCTTAATGGTCTGTCCAAATCTACTTTAACCAGTTATAATCTGGCTTCGAACCTGAACATCCTTAGCTCCTACTTTCCCTATCTATCTTTCCCATACGTGATGTGCTTAGTTTAATCTTCACACTAAGCATACTGCAAAAAATCATACAGCCGAAGGTGACCAGAGAATATTACAGTTGAGGAAACTGAGATAGGCCTATAAGCTTTCCTCTACACTTCACACTTTCTGGGAATCATACTTATTTTGTAAGAATAGTTAACTTTACCCCTGTGAAAAATCAAGATACATAAGAACCCCAGATATTCCGAGCTCAAATTTCCAGGACAAACCCAAACTCAGTAATTACAAGACTGAAAGTAATGGTCACCCTGCTTTCAGGTTCTAGTGTGTGGAGATTCTTTTTTTTTTTTTTCTTTTTGAGAGCAAGAGAGCGCAGTATCAAATCCTAAATGGCGCCGAAAACTGTCCAACAGTCAGTGTTTTCTCATATACTGTTTCATTTAGCTCTATACTGTAATCCATTATTATAGAAAAGCATGTTAGATAATTTGACCAAAAAATACTACTTAAAAGTTCAGTTTACAGAACCAGTTAACCTAACAACTCCTGAACTATTCCTGGATTTAGCAAAAATTGAAACTGTTTAAGTTTCAAATAACTGTATCAATAACGGTTACATATTAAAAGATAAACTTACGTTCTAACTGCAGCTCTAACTTTCCAGTATTCTCAGTATGTCTTTACACAAACTTTCTGTTAATGCGATTTCCAATTATCTAGCCAGTAAAAGGGCATTCACTGTGCCTCCAACGCAACCCAGAAGCAAAATCAACGTCTTGTTTGCCCTAGCTTGAGAGTTTTAACTCAACTTCTGTGCCCCACAGTAAAACCAGTTGTCGGAACCCTACACAGGATACTGGAATCCCAGTCTGTTTGCGCCCATCGCCAGCAAGCCCGAAGATGTAGGTCGGTTCTAACTGACTAGAGCGCAAGCCTAAATCACTCGGCCTTAAACGATTAGCAGGCACCACCTACAGCTCCTCACGCCCCCTCGTCCGGGGAAGTTGCGTCATCACGCTGGTTCGCCCCGTCCCCGGATGCACTTTTATTTCCGGATTCTTAGAGCGGACTCAGAGCTCCACGGTTCCCGACGCGCTTAGCACATGCGCGACAGCTCAGCTCTCTCTTCTTCCACTTCCACTAGCCTCCACCGTCCGGGCAGCCGCCGCCACCGCCGCCGAAGAGTCAGGAAGTTCAAGATGGCCGCCACGGAGGCTCAGTCTCTGCGGGAACAGCCAGAGTAAGTAGTCTCTCTGAGTGGTACGAAAGGCCGGAGCCCTGGGGACTGCCAAGTGGCAAACGGTGGAGATTTGCACGGGCGGGCGGGAAAGTTCTGGCCTAACGGCGAGAGCCAAACTTTGCCTTTCCCCGCTCATTATGTTGTGGGGCGGGAAGCGTGGGGTGCGGACCGGCGGTCTGCGAGCTTCGCTCTCCCGGAGGCCGCGTCTGTTGGGTCCAGGGCGGCTGCGGCCTGCCGCGCGTCGTTGCCCAGGGAGGCAGAGGCGCGAGCGGCCTCTACAGGTCCTGTGCGCTAGGCGGCTGCCGCGATCGTGCAGTCGCACCTTTCTCTTCCTCCCAAGGGGACCGAGCGGAGCTCCGTGGCCGCAGCACTCAGCAGCATCGGTGTTGGGTATCCAAGGAATAGTGCGGCACCCGGGCAAGCCCTAAGATTTTTCTTCCTTCCGCCTGCAGTACCTCGGTCGTCCTGCTACTGTTGGCAGTGTTAGAACCAGAAAGCGGAGAGAAGGGGTGCTAGGGTCACCCTCTTTGACCATTTCAGAACTATAGTTTGTGCACTTCATCTCTCCACTCCTGTATTCTTTACTCCAGTATCCAACCGATATTTTCACCCCTGCCCATTGGCAGCTTATTTGCTAACTTGTAAACGTGAAACAAAGTGAGACCAACTCCTTGGTTTTGAGGCCTGACATTTTTGGCCTAAGTTTATAACGCGTCTTTGGGAGTACGGTTGGAAGAAGTAGTGCAAATTGCTGGCTCCTTCCAAATCCAAGCACTCTGTCTGTAATTAAGCTAATGTGAGAATCGACGCGGCCAAGTGAAAACATAGTTGTATATATTGCAGAGGCTAACCATTACTTAACTGAAATCAGTATTTTGTTTTTCGTGTTTATGCTAGGAAAATTCACACAAGGACATAAAAGAGAATGAGTTTTAAAACAGTATTCCTATTTGGACCGTTTTTTGCACCAGCATTATCTGATTTGTTTTCAGCCATTTTAGGAAAGAGGTAGATAAAATCTCCCTTCGACTTGGGACTGATAGGAGAAATCTTTGTCACCAGACAGCCCCTCACTTCATTGCTGTGCAACCAGTTGGACTCCAAGCATTTGCTCTACTGAGCTAGACAGTAAAGTTTTTCATTCAAAACTTTTGGAATCTGCTTTATTATCTTCACAATTTGACTTAGAAGAGAGCAAATGGATTTTAAAGTTTTAACTAGACTTTGTCTCTTTGTTTCTCTTCGAGTTCACAGCGTGTACAGTTACAGTATTTATGACAGTGCAGTACAAATCTTATGCAATGTAGTTGATTATTCTAGTAATTTGTTTAGAGTTCTATATAGTACTGTGCCCATTCATTTGATTTCAGGGACAGTTCAGATTCATTTTGAAGAGTCTTCAGCCATATTTTATTTACATATTCAAGTACTAGATTTAATAATAGTAAGTAACTTTATTTAGGCCTCTGCAATATGAATGACACTGAGATAGTCTTTAATTCTACCTCCCATCCCCCACAGAACACTCAGTATAAATGGAACATTTGGTCAATATGTGTTCCACTTTCAATTATTAGAAAACATTTAACAAAGTAAATAATAGTTTGATCTGAAAGCAAGTACTGCCTATGCTACTCATAGTGAATACTGGATATACTTTAGAGGACACTGAACAGTTCTTTAGAGGACACTTGAGTAGTTTATATGGAATCTATTCAGAGTAGAACATTTAGAAAAAATAAATATAAAAAACAGGTTTAAGCTTCCTGAATGCTTTTTAGTGCTTTTGCATTTGTCATTCTCATGAGCTAGCTCAGCCTTTTGGATAGTTTTAAACATTTACATTTTAATATGCCTTGACTTACAGACTTATTTGCACTTTCCAAGTACCAGATACTGTTCAAAGCACTGAACAAATATTAACTTATTTAATCTTTATAACATCCCTATGGCAGTAGATACTGTTCTATAGATGATGATATTGAAGCACAGAAAAATTAACTTGCCCAAAGTTGTACTAAGCAGCAGACCTAAGATTTAAACCATGGAAGTCTGATTGGTTCTAGAATCCTGCTCCTACCTATTGTATGGTGTGGTCTACCAAATTGTGGCTCCTTTTAAAAATAGCCTTTAAGGTTTGAAATCATTTTTACTTATTTCCAAGGTCCCAGAAAGATTCAGTTTTTGATATGGTAGTTTCGGTTCTTTGAAAATTAACCCCAAATCTGATTTGGAAAATATATGGGTCAAGGAGTTCATTTTAAGGACAGTTGGTCTTTTAGATTCATTCTTATTTTTATATCGTCATCAGTTCTGTATTAAAGTAGTTTAACTTGTTAGGGAAATAGGCTTACTTTCCTTGTAAGAGAAGCAGTGGCATCCATTTTGCTCACCATTCTGTCACCAAAGCATAAATTGAATGATCTCCAAATAAGATGTCAAAAAATATTCTTGTGAAAAAAGGAAGTTAACATCACACTTGCTGCTGGTAACTGGTCACTTTATTTTAAAATTGTTCATGGCTATTTTCATTATGCCAGATGCCCCAAGACCTTGGTTGTTTGAGCGGTAAAACTGATGCATTTCATTTGACAAAACGAATAAATACTGTTAAACACTCCCATATTGCCTGCACTCTTAAATCAGATTTCTTTTCAAATAATATGATTTGAAGGATATTAATCAGCTCTCAGTATTGTTTTATGACAAACCTCTTGTAGACCAGGTTGGTATAAACATACACCTGCCAAATGTGTAGTGTTAAGTTGGAAAATATAAATTTATACACATGGAATTTATATATGGTAGTCCCCCTTTTTCACAGAGGATACATTTCAAGGCCAACAGTAGATGCCTGAAAACACGGATAGTACCAACTTATATATAACAGGCATACATCACTTTATTGCACTTCACAGATACTGCATTTTACAAGTGGAAGGTTTGTGCTAACCCTGCCTTGAGCAAATCCTATTGGCAAATTTTTCCAACATTTGCTCATTTTGTGTGTCTGTCACATTATGGTAATTTTCACATTTTCAAATTTTAGTGTTATTTTATGGTGACATGTAATCAGTGATCTTTGATGTTACTATTTTAACAGCTCAGCTGATGGTTAGCATATTTAGCAATAAGGCATTTTTAATTGAGAAATATTCTTAAAAAAAACTGTACTGTTGCACACTTAATAAAGTATAGTGGAAACATAATTTTTACATGCACTGGGAAACCAAAAAATTTTTATGACTTGCTTTATTGCAATATTCACTTTATTTTGGTGGTGTAGAACTAAATCTGTAATATCTTGAAAGTATACCAGTACTGTTTTTTCCTGTACATACATAGCTATGATAAAGTTGAGATGAATAATAATAAAGTATAACAATTATGGCAATATATTGTTATAAAAGTTATATGAGTGTGGTCTCTGGCTCTCAGAATATCTTGCTGTACTTACCCTTCTTGTGATGATATTATCACGTTTCGTAACAAGAAACTTTTCCATAAAGCATTAGAAGAAAGTTGTTACTAATGAAACTAAATTAGCTGATTTAGCACAAACTCATTATACGTAATATGTTATGCCATGGATTCACTGAGTTCAAGTTTTCCTGATTTACCTAGTTAGACTTCAGTTGTTATTTTTTTATAAAATTTGCCTTAGAGATCAACTGAAGAGGGTGCTTTATGCCTTATTCCAGTGTGGGGCAACTCTAGGATTCTTAAGGTTAACCCAGCTGGCTTATAGAATTCTTACCAGTAACATAGGCATTTCTTGAGATAACATTATTAAATTATAATAGAAACTGGGGTCACTCGTGGGAATGACTCTCAGGTAACACTGAGCATCATGATGTAGGTCCTGATTCTCAGAAGTTTTAGGACACCGTTGGCAAACACAAGGCCTATGGGCCAAATCCAGCCCTCCACCTTGTTTTATCTGGCCTGGCACCTTGTTTCTACCCTGTGGCATCGCTGAGCTCTTGCTTAACTGTTAAGGAGTAGTTACATTTATACAGTCCTAAAATGCCGTTACCTTTGAAGGTAACCGTAAGGCTGATGTGCCTCTGGTGAAAATGAGTTTGACACCCCTGTTTTATGAGTTAGATAATTTGTTGGTGAGCTCTTAAGAATTTTGAATGAAACTTCTTGGAGGACTTGGAAATTATAGAAAGACTTAGAAAAGCGTTCAAAGAGCAGAATTTTCTTAGGGGGGCGGTGATTAAGTCATTTGGAGTATTGTGGGATAGGAGATTTCTGGGGAAGGGTTGCCCATATGTGGGTAGTCTGTATAAAGAACAAAGCTGAATGTGTTTGTATCTTCTACCTGAATCCGTGATTTTCCCTCCTTCACATTTGAACCATGTTGGTCTTTTTTTAATACAAAGCTGCTGTCTTTTTCCAAGTCTTTTGAAAATGTTCTGTAGTCCAGAGAATGCTACTGTATTTATCCTGTTTTCTCTTACCCTGTTAGAAACAAGTAAACTTAAACTAAAACCTGACTCAACAAAAGACGCAGCTTCCTCTGCAGCTCTCTTTCAGTACTTTTTTCTTTTCCACAGTCAATAGTACCAGAAATGAAGTTTGGTAGCCTGACAGCTAAAAAATTCAAAGTTCTTGCCATGTGGTAGTTATGGTCTCCATATTCTGCATACCCCCTCATTGTCAACTGGAAACTTTTCAAGCATACTTCCAGTATGTCCTTTATTGAACACAGTTCTGGCTGGAGGGCCAGACTTTTCTTCAACCCTTGCTGTAATGGCAGTGTCTTTACAGACAACCCATCATCCAACAACTTTATCTTTTGGTTCTTGGGTCTCTGACTCTAGTGTCTCTGTAACTCCATCTCAACCACTCACTCCCAGAATCTCATATTATATCTTGTCATCTCCTGGAATTAGTCCATTGAGATCTTCACCTTCATTAGACCAGTTTCTTCCACAAGTTTGATGCCTTGACAACAACAATCTATTTATGGTTATATATAACTATGGTTTTTTGAGGGGGTTGTCATTTCCCCCCCTTACACTGTGCCTTTCTTCTTCTGGTTAATTTTTTACTCATTCTCTAGGGCAGTGTTTCAGCTCATGTACCTTCCCAATAAACATTTCTTACTTCCAAAGTTCCTGCTTAACAAATAGGTTAGATTTCTCTGTAATCTCATACAAGATACCCCCTTTGATCATTTTCAAAATGATCAAAGGTTGAGTCTTCAGTGTTCCCATAATGCCCTTATTCATGTCATTATCATTACACTTTCTTTTCCTCTGGACTATAATTTTCTTGAGGGAGGCCAGTATTCGTCTTTTATATTTTGTTTTCCTGCTACCTGGCTTAATGTCTATATTCAAGTACAGGTGATTTTTTAAAATGTTAACAGAGATTGAACTAGATTTATTAATTCTTAAGTTACAAGGAGCTATTTGTAGTATATAGCATAAAAAACTTACTGAAAGTACAGGACTATATAATTTGAAGGACTTTGACCAAATAATTCATATTTTCCTCCAAAAATAGTATGATGGCCCAAATTCAAATAAACTTAAGTCTGATTTTGGTTTCATATTCTAGGGAGTGATGATTTAGTATGGAGTGTTTCTAAAGGGTAAAATTAAAATATTGCTGTTGTAGTCTTTGTTTAACCTGAGAATATTAAACATCAAGAATTCGGCAAAATAATTTAGAATCGCAAACTCAGGATAGCCCAAACAGTCCCCTATTATTATGAACATATTTTGGGAAACCAATCTCTTCATTTGAAACTTAGATTATAATAGTTCACTGAACAAATACTATGTTGGACCATGTGGTGAAGTTACCCATTTTGGACTCTTGTTGACTTACAAAAGACCCTTTAATGTGGCTCAACCACAAGATTGCTCAGTGGCTGCTACAGGCCGACAGTCCTAACTCCTGATCAGTTTACTTGAAGTTTTAACCCTTAAAGGGTTACTGTCAGCATCAGCTGCCAGTGCACATACATGGTGGAGTGCTTATTTTGGGTATGGCTGAGTATTGGCTCCAGAGATTTTTTTTTATTTATTTTTTAAAGTATGCTTCTGAATTTCAAGTGGAGAAAGAGATTAGTCTTCCAAGATATGTCTTTGTGTTTTATGGGGAAAAAGAAAATGGAGGATGTTTTTCGTGTTAAGTCTTTGTGGGAAAGACTTGAGTGACTGTTTCAGTAATCGGTGCTAACATTTTATCTGGTTTGGATTCCCTTTTCCTATTAAGTATAATTATTTTAACCCCTATACTATGTATTTCCTCTAATACTTTTGGTATTTGCGTTCAACCATTAGAAACATATTAAAGGTTAAGCCACTGTTTGACTCATTTCTTGCCACATGCTGTGGGGAAATCAGTATCTGAAGCTGTTATGAAAATACTTTATGTATGCCCTGACTGGTGTGGCTCAGTGGATTGAGTGCCGGCCTGCAAACCAAAGGGTTGCTGGTTTGATTCCCAGTCAGAGCATATGCCTGGGTTGCAGGCCAGGTTCCTGGAGGGGGGTGCATGAGAGGCAACCACACACTGATGTTTCTTTCTTGTCTCTTAAAATAAATAAATAAAATCTTTTTTTTTTAATGTTTAAAAAACATCTGTTACATTGAGATGTATTTTAGTGTTGTTGTGACCCTGAATGCTTGATAAAGGATAGGATTTTAAAATGTGTTTGATGTATTTATAGGATGGAAGATGCTGATAATTCCGAAAAAAGTGTAAATGAAGAGAATGGAGAAGTATCAGAAGACCAATCTCAAAATAAGCACAGTCGTCACAAAAAAAAGAAGCATAAACACAGAAGTAAACATAAGAAACATAAACATTCCTCGGAAGAAGACAAGGATAAAAAACATAAACATAAGCATAAACATAAGAAACACAAAAGAAAAGAGGTTATTGATGCTTCTGACAAAGAAGGTATGTCTCCAGCAAAAAGAACTAAACTTGATGATTTAGCTTTGCTGGAAGACTTGGAAAAACAGAGAGCCTTGATTAAAGCTGAACTTGACAATGAGTTAATGGAAGGAAAGGTCCAGTCGGGGATGGGGCTCATATTACAAGGTTATGAATCTGGCTCTGAAGAAGAGGGGGAAATTCATGAAAAGGCAAGAAATGGAAATAGGTCTAGTACTAGATCTTCAACTATAAAGGGGAAACTTGAACTTATGGACAATAAAAATAGTACAAAAAAGCGAAGTAAAAGCAGATCCAAAGAACGGACTAGACATAGGTCTGACAAAAAGAAAGGTAAGGGAGGTGTTGAAATAGCTAAAGAAAAGACAGCTAGGAGCAAATCAAAGGAGAGGAAAAAGTCCAAAAGTCCATCCAAAAGAAGTAAGTCTCAAGATCAAGCAAGAAAATCAAAATCTCCTACCCTTAGAAGGCGATCTCAAGAGAAAATTGGGAAAGCCAGATCTCCTGCTGATGACAAGGTTAAAATTGAAGATAAAAGTAAGTCAAAAGACAGAAAAAAATCCCCAGTTGTAAATGAGAGTAGAAATCGTGATCGAGGCAAAAAATCCAGATCCCCAGTTGACTTAAGAGGTAAATCCAAAGACAGAAGGTCACGGTCCAAAGAGAGAAAATCAAAAAGGTCTGAAACCGATAAAGAAAAGAAGCCAATTAAATCTCCTTCTAAAGATGCTTCTTCTGGGAAAGAAAATAGGTCACCCAGTAGAAGGCCTGGTCGTAGTCCTAAAAGAAGGAGCTTGTCTCCAAAACAACGGGATAAATCAAGAAGAAGTAGATCTCCACTTTTAAATGATAGGAGGTCTAAACAGAGCAAATCGCCTTCTCGAACTCTGTCTCCTGGTAGAAGAGCCAAGAGCCGATCTTTGGAAAGAAAACGAAGAGAACCGGAAAGGAGACGACTTTCTTCCCCACGGTAACTTATTTTCAAAATGTTACTACTTTTTGCCAGTGCACCAGATTTTAAAGGAGAAGCTAGAACTTGTGGATGATGAAAGATGAGATAGTAATGAGTTTTATATTATTTGCAATTTTGTCATTGTGTATCTTAATTATGGGCAATTTGCAAATATTCAACTTGGTGACAGACATAGTTTTTGTTTTCAAGTTCTTAATGTAGTGTCTAATTTATAGACCCATTCTTTTAAATCCAAGTAATTTGGCAGGTAAAGTTCTATACACTCATTTATGGAAGGGGTATATGTAGTTACTAGAGAGGATTATTCATTGAACAGTATAGGCTGACATTTTAAACTTTAAAAAAGGATGGGTTAGTTTTAAGGATTGTGATCTGTCTGTTCTCTTGAATTGGCATGATTTTGAATTCTAACAATAAAAATTGGAACTATAATTTCTTTTAGCTCCAAAATACAAGGAAATTGAAAGCGGAAAAATTTTTTGTTACTAAATCATCATATATTTACTTATAACCAATTGTTGCAAAAAACCTCTTAAGTTTAGGAAGAATGGTATAAGAAATGATTTTACTTTTTTACTAATAATAGTGAAAATTATCATATATGTATAATACAGTTAGTCAATCACTTTTCTCAAATTCTTGTGATTCTGTCCTCATGAGGTGGATAACTTGTATTTAATGAATTAAATGAAAAAATCAGATTGCCTATTAACTAGGATCCTGGAAGTAGTAAGGCACAGAAAGGATTTTGGTAGGGAGGGGTGGGAAGTTGTTTAGACTAGCTAAACTACTCTAGAAACAGGTTTTTTAGCATCTTTATATTCAGTGATGAGGCATGTGAAATTGTCAGCCAAGTTTCACTTAAAAGAATGTTGGCTTATTCTGTGTCAGGATGTGAATTCATAGCCATTTATTATTGCATATTAACATTTACTGTGTATGGGTATAAATATAAGCTATAGTTTGTCATTTTTCAAGAAATACGAAGAATACTCTTTTCAAGGAGCTTTATTTTAAGAGATACTGTTGATTCTTTACTTCTAAGTTACATTGTAATAAAGTGGCCCATTTTCTTTAGCTTCCCTTCATTGAGACCTGTTCATGTTACTAATTATGCTATCTAAAGTGTTTTTGTTTTTTTTTTCTTTTAATTACTGAGTTTAGAGAGAGGAAGGAAGCGGGGAGAGAACAGCATCATTTGTTGTTCCACTTACTTATGTATTCATTGGTTACTTCTTGTATGCGCCCTGAGTGGATATCAGACCCTCAACCTTGGTGTATTGGGATGATGTTCCAACCAACTGAGCTGCCTGGCCTGGTCCTAAAGTGTTAGTTAATGATCCTGGTCTCTTTCAATTTGCAATCAGTTGTGATATTTTGAAGAGTTTATGAAGGATTAGAGTCCGGTTTTTGAAACAAAAATATACTTTGAATTCCAAAAGAAACAGTAATTAAGGAGAAATTTAAATAATGCAGAAGCATGTAAATTCTCTTCCTCTCTATCCTTCTACTGTCATGGGGATCTGTCTTTCTAGCCCTTTTTTACCAAACACTTCTCTGATAATACATAAAGACATTTTAAAATTCTTTATGTAACAGCAACATATTTCACAGTGTAGATATGCCATAATATATTTAATCATTCTCTTGTTGAAACTGATAAAAATTTAGGTTGATTCCAGTTTTTCATGATTGTATGCAAAAATGTCCACGAGTTATGTGTGAGGTTTTTTTGTAGAATAGTTTCACAGAAGTGAAATTGCAAAGTCTAACTTTTAAAAAGTTATTGCTGAATTTTCTTCTAGGAAATTTATACCAATATGTATTTCCATGACTGGATGGACTATCCTTTTCCCTAAACCCTTACTTAATATTTCCTCTGTTGTAAGTTAATATTGATTGTAAGATGCTATTATATGTAATTGATATTTTAAAAATAAGGCTCAACTGCAAAAATGTCAAAATTTAGAAATAAAACAGTCTTTAAACTTAGGAAATGGAATATTACCACTCCCTTGGGGAAGTTTTGAGTTGACTATCTGGGATTAGAACCAGTGGCTTTGACCATAAGAATAATCTCTAACAATGTAAATTCTGAGACCAGAGTAAATAGGCTTTTTTTCTGTGTGCCTAACATAACATCAAAACATCATTGTAATCATTTGAATTTAAGTTTTATTACAAAGTGCTAATTTGTGTTTACTATCTTTATCACACCCTTTTTAACACTGTGGGCATGTATTTTTATGTATTTATTTTTTAAAATACGGAATGCTTCATGAACTTCCTTGTCATTCTTGTGCAGGGCCATGCTGATCTTCTCTGTATCATTCCAATTTTAGCATATGTGCTGCCGAAACAAGTGCTGTAAACATTTAAAGGTGTCTTCCTTCTAACAGACTTTTTGGAAAGACAGAATTTTTTCCCTAAGAACATTTTTGCATGATTCCAAGAGTTATAAACATGCATGTTAGAAGAGTAGAATAATACCTAAAAGCACAAAAAGTGGATTTTTATAAATCACTGCAATAGCATGCCCTTTCCTCAGGTGTTCATTACAGCTCTGGCCAGATAGCCCAGTTGTTTAGAGCATTGTCCTGACACACCAAGGTTGCAGATTGGATCCCTGGTCAGAGCATAAATAAGTGAAACAAAAATCAGTGTTTCCCTCTCTCCTCTCCCTTTCTCTCTCTCCCTCTCTCTCTCTCAAAAATCTGTTTTTTAAAAAAAAGATGTTTATTACATGTAGAAGAAATTTATTTTGATTTAATTTATTTTTCTTAATTTAATTTATTTATTTAATGTATTTGTTCCCCTTAAGAACACGACCTCGAGATGATATCCTCAGTAGGCGTGAGAGATCAAAAGATGCCAGTCCCATCAGCCGGTGGTCTCCAACCCGAAGAAGAGCAAGTAGATCTCCCATTAGAAGGAGATCTCGCTCCCCACTCAGGCGTAGCAGGTCTCCCAGAAGAAGAAGCAGGTCTCCTCGGAGAAGGTAAAGATTCATTAAATTCTGAATGTTTAATGTAGTTTTCCTTCAAATTTAAATGTGTCAGTGTTCATCAAAAACTTGTCTCTTAAAAGTAGGACATTTTTTTTCTCTGTTTTTGAGAGATAAATACTAAATGAGCCTAGGCTTAGGACTTTTTTTTTTTAACTAGTATAGATCATAGCAGCCCACTTTCCTTTTTTTTCTTACAGTTCCGTACTTACTTTTCTGTTACCTTAAGAACAACGCCTCTAGATGATAGCCTCAGTAGGCATGAAAGACTCTGGGCAAAGACCTAAGTGACAGTAGTAAAAACCATTTTATGGGAAGCACATGTAGTCAGTAGTTAGTTGGTTAGTAAAAGGTTGGCTTTTAAAGCAGGGAATCAATTTAAAATAACATATACGTTAAATATTTTTACCCAAAACATGAATGGATGTTCATTTGCCAATCTTTCAACATTTTTAATTGAAACAATACAGGAATATAACTTAAAGAGAGTACACCAAAGACATATATTGCAACCACTGGATATATCTTGACATATTTCTGAGTATTTTGTATCCTAGATTCCTCAAGTAGAAAATGCTTTATCGAATAAGCATGTGCATATTTAAATGTTTTAAAGTTAATTGCCTTATTATCTATTGATTTTTTACTTTGGACAATTAGTCTTTATATTGCCCCTCACATGTTTCTCTTCTGCCTGATTTCGTCACCTTTCTGTGTGCTTCCAGATATCATCATTATGATCATGACCATTATTCCTTACTGAGCAAATAGAGGGCCTTCATTCTAATGCTTCTAGCCTTCTGGCTCCAAAATGATAGTCCTGCTTGTACAGTTATCATTGTAGAATTTGTTTTCCTATCCTCTTGGTATTCCCTTGTTTTCCTTTTGTTGTGATTCTGTTTTCTGTATCCAGTGCCTACTTGTGTTACCCCTTTGCTTTAGTGATGAATCGCCAGTAACTTCCTGAGGGAAGTGCATGGGAAGGACGTATATTTTGGTATCTATGTCTCTAAAAATGCCTTTTATTCTCATTGCTGAAGTGTCAAGGAATGGAACTCCAGGTTGGCATTATTTTTTCCTAAGAATTTTGAAATTGTCATTTATTACTCCAAAAAAGAGAATGTTGAAGTTGTTATTCCACTGTTTTCTAGTATCTAGTATTGCTACTTAGAATACCTATTCTGATGTTAGTTTTTATAGGACTTGCTCCCCCCCCCCCCCCCCTTTTAATAAATGTGCTGTGACTGGCACTAGACTCTTCAGCAGTGTCTAGTCCTTTTTGGTCCTTCATTACATAAACTTCCTCTTAATCCTGTTTTCAGTGGAGTGTCTCCCTGGTACCTTGGGCCAGTTTTTACAACCAGCACTTCTCTATAAAATAAATCTTAGCACCTCTCTATAAAAAAATCTTAAGTATTCTGTCAGAATGTGAAGGGGGGTGGTTGTCATTTTCTGCTGAGCCAGGAATGTATAGTCAAACTGTTACTAAAGGCTTTCAGCCGATTCTTTTTAGCTTTTATCTCATGCTTTATCCTTCAGGGACATAGTATCTCCAATTCTTGAGGCTTTCTGGGCTTGTGTGGCATGCACTACTTGTCTCTTTTTTACTTTGTCTCTTCCTATTGGACTAAGATTTGATCTGTAACTACTCTTTTCGATTTGTGTATTTTAAGATTTTGTTAGCATCTCAGCTGTCATGACTCTTCGTTTTCTTTGGCTGAATATTTTCTTTTTAATTGTTCCTTTCACTGTGCTTTTAGTAAGCCTTCAGAAGAAATCCGAGATAAACATGGTTATCAGATGTGGTTAACAGGGAGTTTACCAATCTTTTCTAGACTCATAGCCTGTGTGTTTGGAGTTCTGCATCCTTTTAACATAAACTTCACTGTTAATACTTCAACTATTATAACAGTTTCTATTTGTCTAACATGAGGCATTTAACCTTTAGGCATTTATAAAAATAAAAAAATGTCTGGGGACCATGTCAATTAAACTTGGGATTTTTATCACATTTGTCCTTCCCATAGCTTATCATCAGATCTTTTTAAAAATCAGGTTTATTGAAACATCATTTACGTAAAGTAAATTCACCCTTTTTGGTGTAAAGTAGTAAGTTTTGACAAACGGAGCAATATAACCACCACAGTCAAGATATAGAACATTTCTACTACCCCCATAGTCTCTGTGCTCTTTTATAGCCAGTAAGTAGAGTAGCTGTGTTTTAGTTATTTTCAGTAAGCTGATTATAGCCAACCTTTCTGGTAATATTTTACTTTCCTTTAACATTTTAATTGACTCTTTAATACTTTATTTTTAGAACAGTTCTAGGTTCCCAGCAAAATTGAGCTTTTGAAAAGTACAGTTCTGTATACCTGTGCTCGCAAGACAGCACAGCCTTCCCAGTTTTAACCTTAAAAAAATATTGTGTATGTGTATATATATATGTATATATGTGTGTGTATGTATATAATCTTTTCAAATAGGGACAGAGGTCGGAGGAGCAGATCACGCATGAGAAGGCGGTCTCGATCACGGGGTGGTCGTAGACGTAGGAGCAGAAGCAAAGTAAAAGAAGATAAATTTAAAGGAAGTCTTTCTGAAGGAATGAAAGTTGAGCAAGAATCTTCTTCTGAAGATAAGTAAGAGTGACATTTTCCCATAATGTTTTCTTTTTCAATTTAGAGAAACACTGTTTGACATAAATCTTTATTTTTCCACCTGAATATTGTAAGTGAGCCCATTTGTTTGGTTCTGAATTGAAAAGTTAATCTTTGTGCATATTTTATAGGATATATGGCAAAGGTCATGGTTTTCTGAATTTAGATGTTTCAGTTTTGGCTAGAGTAAATATTGGGTCATTACTTTATGATGAGCTTTCCCTTTATTTATTTATTTATTTATTTTTTAGAAACAGTAGATATGTTAGATAATCTCACCAATCTTTTAAGATTTTATTTATTTATTTTTAGACAGAAGGGAAGGGAGGGAGAAGGAGAGGTAGAGAAACATCGATGTGTGGTTGTGTCTCACACATTCCCCACCAGGGACCTGGACTGCAACCCAGGTATGGGTCCTGACTGGGAATCGAACTGGTGATCCTTTGGTTCATAGGCCAGTGCTCAGACCACTAAGCCACACCAGCCAGGGCTAATCTCGCCAATTGTAATACCGGTTCTTGCCGGGGGGGTTATATATTAAGTTTAGACTTTTTAGTTTGTAAAATGATACATACTTTGCATCTGAGGCTATCTGGTGGCAGATATGTGTGTTAAAATGTGGAAACATTTTTAAAATGCTGAAACATTTCAGTGTTTAATAATATAGCAGGGAAATTTTTTTTAATGAAAACTTAGTTATGTAAATAAAACATCTCAAAAATAAGTAAGACTAGTTTAGAGCAATGAATGGTTCTCAACTGGGAGTAATTTGCTTTCCCACATGGCAATGTCTGAAGACATTTTAGGTCATCTAGTGACTAGAGGCCAGGGATACTGTTAAACATCCTCCAGTGCACAAGACAGCCCCCATAATGAACTATCAAAATGTTAATAGTGCTAAGGACAAGAAACTTTGATTAAAGCTAGGTGATGAGAAAGCTGAATTGGGGAAAGGTGTTATACATAGATTCCTAACCCCTTCAGAGTCCAGTGGACATTCAGCAGACCACAGAAAAGGCTGCACTGGGAGGGATCATGAAGGTCGTGGAGGAATTTTTTAGTGGACAGTTAGGACCAGTCTGGGTCAGTGTTAGGAGATAGAGCCGCATTCCTCTTCACATTGTATGTTAATGTTTACATGTGCATTTTTGATGGAAAAAGATCTATAGCTTTCAAAGGGTTCTATGACCCAGAAAAGGTACCTTATTTATCTGTGCTGGCCTTCTTGTTTTATAGGTGTAGAAACTGAGGATAGAGAGGTGAAATGACTTTACTAATACTAAGGTCATGACAAAGCCATTGATGACATTTTTTTAATTCAAGGATCCTTTGTTCTTCATTTTGGTGCCATGAAACAGTTAAGGGTAAAAATGAGACACAGAAGGTTAAATTACTTGCAAGAATTTCAAACCAGACACTGAGAAAGTTTTAGAAACAAAGATAAAGAGGGTAAGATAGCTTGAGACTTCTGCTTAAACTTACTGATGACCTGCATTTTCCAGCTTTTATTTTTAAAGCATAAAATTATGGTGTTGGAATATCCAGGGGTGTTTAAAATTAATTATAAGTATATATGGGTTAACTTTTTTAAGCCTTGAAGACTTTGACGTAGAGGAAGAAGATGAAGAGGCATTAATAGAACAGAGAAGAATACAAAGGCAAGCAATTGTCCAGGTATTTGATTTTAGTAAAATTTTGATCAGTCCTCCTTAATCAATATTTTAGTAAAAGAAAGGTTTTTTACTTTAACAAAGAAGTGACAATAGTAGCAATTCAATAGGTCTTTTAAAAAAGTATTGTTTCTTAATAAAATTGAAATGGTTACCCTTTCTGTTATTAATAGGATTGATATAAACCTCTTTTGTAAGACAAAAATTTGAAGTTTGCTTTTTAAGTCAATGAACAGGAAAACCCCCATAAATGAGTGTAGAATAAATTGTAGGAACTTCATTTAGCACAAAATTATGCCTGTTACTATTTGAAAGAAAACAAACTTCTTAATATCTAATTGTTTAAATGGAACATGTCAAAAATTTTAAGATTAGTTTAGAATTAGGCAATTAAAAAAATTGGATGGGGAAAGTATTGTGCATAGTCTTTATGTAGTTATTTAATGAATTATAAGCTGAGCTGCCTTGGAAGATTGTCAGTTCTTCCCTGGCAATCCTGGCATAAAGCTGTGACCACTAGATCCTTTATGAGTGGCAGACCATATAAAGTGCCTTCTGTCACCTTCTAAATTTGATTAGAATTTTCTGCTAGTGATGGGAAGGTGAGTGTGTGGAGTTGAAAGGAAGAATTCTGAAAGACATGGAAAGTGTTTAGATACTATAAGGAAGACAGCAGACAAAAGGAAAGAACAGTTGTGGTAGCTCACCTAAACATGCATAACAAACCATAAAACAGGTAATGGTGTGTCAGTGAAAGAAAGAACTTAAATCACCAGAGGCTGGCTGTGGAGCAAAACTGGAACTTCAGAGGAAACTTGACTTTTCTGGGACACTGATAAAATTATTATTATTGAATTGCTATTCCCAAAGACTTGGTTGAAATTTTTTTGTTCTTGCCCAGGTCCACAATCCCTTATCTCCAACCGTTGGGGGCAGATGTGCTTCAGAACTCAGAAATATTTGAATTTTAGAAAGGTAATATGGTGCATCTGTGTATAGTAGCCCCATTAGTGGGGTCTAAAACAGCACCCCATCATCAAATACATGTGTATTTCTGTAGTGAGGCATATTATGTTCATGCTGGGGGAGATAAAGAAGACTATAAAATAGTGTCACATTTGTTTTGGTCAGTTTTGCCACCTAATGAATGTATACCATACATAGTAAATGACTTGAGAGTTTTGTGGGGTTTGGAATTATATAAGGGATTGTGGATCTGATTCAATCAAGGGATCAGTATTGTTTAAAAAGTTTTAACATGTGATTCTTTATAAAGTACCTCTTAGCAGATATAGTTAGATAACATCAGATTTTATGCAAATAATGTATTGTGTTATTATTACAGAAATATAAATATCTGGCTGAAGATAGCAATATGTCTGTGCCATCTGAACCCAGCAGCCCCCAGAGCAGTACTCGTACACGGTCACCTTCTCCAGACGACATTCTGGAAAGGGTAGCTGCTGATGTTAAAGAGTATGAACGAGAAAATGTTGATACATTTGAGGCCTCAGTAAAAGCCAAGCATAATCTAATGACAGTTGAACAAAATAATGGTAAGTTAGATTTTTGTTGTGACCATGCTTTTCTCTGAATTCTTGGCTCTGTAACTTCATGAGAGAGATTGTTTTGGAATGGGGAAACTGAAAGAGATTAGGAATGTTACTCGGTAACTTACAGTAAGTCATACAGTATTTATTAAATGTATCCTAGTGAATGTTCTCCATAAATGTATTAGTTTGCATAACTGGAACAGTATATTGAATTCCCACTCATAATCTTTTGTTTTGCTTACTAGAGTATTTTAAAACAAATTTTAGGCATGATTTCATTTTTATCCGTAAATATTTCAGTTTGTGTATTTGTTAAAGACTTAATGGTTGCTTTGAATCAAAATCCAAATAAGATGCACTTACTATATTTGAGGTATATAAGTTGGTTAGGTGTCCAATACTCCTGGGCCTTTTCTGTAGACAAAGCTAAGAAATACATACATTTTTGGAAGGGAATTCATACCAATGTTGCCAATTAAAATTTGAGGGTATAGGGGTTATATTAACTGATTTGATTTTATATTTCTATCTCTTACAGTAAAAAAACTTGCTTCCAATTACATCGTAACTCAGGTTATTATTTTGAAACTTTCATAGAGTTGTCAGTATGATTAACAATATTAAAGGTACTGAATTGATGTGGACCCTGGCTGGCAGGATCTGTGTGTTGTGGCCGCAATGAACAAATTCACTCCTGTGGAGAAAAAGGGACGTCCTGGCCGCTCTCTAAGAGAGAGAGGGAGAGGGGCCCTGACCCCTACCTGGACAGGCTTATTGTTTTTGGGGGGGTACATGACATTGAGGATGGTCCTCATTTACTATGCATAGGTTCACTGTAGGTGATTACCTTTTACAGATAACAAAGAGAAGAATGTTGCTAATTACTTCAAAGAGAAGGATGTTGCAGACCAAGGGGAAAAGTGGCTGAACTGGTTACACTCCATACTTAGGAGGTTTAGCACAGACTTTAGGGAGTTACTTTAGAGATATGCAGTAAACATTTGCTGCCTCAATCCAGGGTGAGGGAGTTTTATTAGCAAAAGCAAGTCTCATGGCAGCGTAGGTGCCACAGGTCTGATTCCCCAATGGGAGAACCTATCCGTGGGCATGGCTCCTGTATACCAGACCTCTCTTCCCACTGGTTTTTCCAAGTGGGATCTGGGCTACATTCCCACACCACACGGAATGCTTCCCTATACTGAATGCAATTTGAAATTTAATAGTTCTTTTTGTCCTTAGGATGCATTCCAAGGTATATAGTCACAAATCTCTTTTAAAGTCATTTGAAATAATTCTCTGTATTGTTACACCACCATTTTGATAGGTTTAGGTTTGTTTTTATTTGCTTTTGCTTTTTAATAATTTTTTGGGTTTTTTAAAATTACTAAAATATCTTTCATGTGTATGTATTTGTAATCTGCCTACACAGGCACTCATCTGCATGAAAATGTCTTTACTTGTTTTTATAGCTGCTTATTATTTCAGAGTAATGAATGTGCCATAGTTTATTTAATCTGTCTTAAATGGTGGATATATAGGGCATGTTCAGTTGTTGGCTGTTCATTGGAGTATTAGTTATAACAGTGTTATACGTTAAGACATTTTTTAATGCTTACCAGTGTACCTTTGAGGTGGTTTCCTAGAAATGGAATAGAATGAATGAATGGATATTAGAAAAATGTTGCTGTGTATCTCCAAAGTCACCTCTATAATGGTTGTACAATTATTGCCATACACAAGCAAGGTCTGAATGCTTAACTATCCAGAACCTTGTTAACAAAGTGTTGTTGTACTTGGGATTTTTTAGCCAGTCTTGTAAAACAGATAGGTATTTCATTATAGTTTTAATTTGCATTCTTTCTTTCCAGGAACCCTTTAATTTTTTTACCCTGGTGTTTTTGTTTTTGTTTTGTTTTGTTTTTGTTTGTTTGTTTTTTAATGGGGTGGTTGGACTTTTTAGGAGAGAAATATATATAGACCTATATCTATTTTTAATGGGGTATTAACCTTTTGCAATTTAAGTTGCAATTTAGAAATACAATTTTTAAAGAGGAGCTTTCATTTTAATACATAATCATTGTTTAGCTATTAGCATGTTAATTGAACATCGGTGAAAGAATGGTAGTAGATCTTCCAACTTTATGAAATGTACCCTTTTAGGAAAAAGTGGATGGCTTTGTAAATGATTTTAAGTTCATTATTAATGAAAAACTGATGTGCAGGAGGAAAAAAGTTTGAATTGCTATTAGTAGTTTTCCATTATTTGTACTTCAATTTGTATCCCTTCATTTTTCAAATATTAATGCTAATTTTCATTAAGGGTCTTCTCAGAAGAAGCTTTTGGCACCTGATATGTTTACAGAATCTGATGATATGTTTGCTGCATACTTTGATGTAAGTTATTTTCAATCATAAAAACACAACTATTACCCAAAACACATATAAATAACAAGTATGGATTTATGCATGAGTGTGTAAATGGAGGGAGGGGGAGAGAGAGATGGATAAAGCAAATTAATAAATGTTAACATTTGGACACCTGGGTGAAGGGTATCTGGGAACTTATGTACTAGCTTTACAACTTTTCTCTAAGTCTGAAATTAAGTCAGAACTTTAAAACAAATGTAGCACAACAGTTTGAGAGTTTCATGAAGAGTTACTTGGTTGGCCAAAAAGTCCCTATCGGTGTTTCCTTTTATAAAAAGACACATTTTTTCATTTTTACCAGTAATTATTAATTTGGATATTTTGAGTATGTCAGCTATCTCTTACATGGTATAACATTGGTTGTTCTTAGTTAATGTTTCCGTTTGATCGTTATGTTTCAATTGTCGACCCAACCGTGGAGCATCATCCAGTGAGGAATCTCCAGCACGAAATTTCGAAAACCACTTTTGACACATTGAATCAGTCACAGCAGCTTCCCCATACACTGCACAAATCTTTACTTGCATTTCAGTTGTGTTTTTACCATTCTTGAAATAATAAAGAAAACATAACACGCTGAAAATGTATATTTTCTTCCATTCAGTATTAAAATGGCTACACAAAAATTCACCAATTTTGATGTTTTTTTTTTAAAGCCCACACTGATATGACAGCTGTCACAATACAATGTAAGCAAATTGTTTCAAATGAAGTTAAAGGTAACTTAAGTGCTACTCGAGTTTTCTTACGGAAAAAAGTAAATGAACTTTTTGGCCAACCCAGTAAATACCGAGTGACTTGAAGGTCAAGTCACTTGATTGTGACTTGAAACAACTTTTTTCTTAGATTTCCACACTGTGTGTTTTTGTATATGGTAGTTTGGTGAGATAAGGTGACATCAACAATTTCCAGGCCTTTATTAAAACAACTCATTTTGGGCTTTTATATGTAGGTGATGGAGAACTTAAGGGTTTGGAGCCTAATAGAAATCATTGAATTGTTGAAAATGTTATAGAGTGGGTTAAGAAATTTTGGTCCTTTAGCCATTTTTATCAGTGCCTTTTCTTGAAGAAGTTTTAAAACAAACGTTCAAAAGTAAGAGAACATGAGCAATAGGAAGCTTTGGTAAGAGGAGGTGGGAAGGATAAAACATATAACAGGGAAATTAAAAATGGAATAGGATAAGCAGCCAATGCCCAGAACAAATTGGTACTCAGCACACACTGGTAATTGGCTTAAGTAACGTGTCACATACATATTTTGCAATGGGGCGGGGGAGTGGTGTGTGATAAAGACTCTTCAGAAGTGCCAGATAACTCTTAATTTCCCTCATAGGCTTAGCTGTACAGCCAGTGACATTTCATACATATGTGGGAAGACAAGCAAGGGGTGTTACATGGACAAGGCAGTAAAAGAAATGTGAGAATTGGTAGGAGAGTTGTATACTGATTGTTAACTGAGTGCCCATGTATAATGTTTGTCCTCTATCAATAGCTATGGAAAATCAGATCTGGTTTGAGTTTTTGTTTTCATTTATATCCTAGTCATGTTCTCAAAAGTTTTTAAAGATACTTTGTTAATTTTTTTTCCTAAACATTATTGTGATACGGGAGACTCTGGTGATCATATTTCATTTATGTCATGTTTTACATGAGTTATATAGTAAGAGTTTATTTTGGCATGAAATGTTTTTATTAAATTATAGCTGGTTTCACCCATTTTTGTTTTAGAGGAAGTACTTTAAATGTCCACCTGATTAGTGGGTACAATGCTCATATTGCCTTCTTAATTTCAGAGTGCTCGTCTTCGGGCTGCTGGCATTGGAAAAGATTTCAAAGAGAATCCTAACCTCAGGGATAACTGGACTGATGCAGAAGGCTATTATCGTAAGTTCACTGTTCTTACTAATTTTAGAGTTCATTGTAACATTTTGTAAAAGTATGTGGCTGATGTAGTCACACACTGAAGAACCCTAAAAGTCACATCATAGTGCCGTCACCTAAAAAGTGGCTCATCTAGCAGCTGCTGAATCCCAGTTTATTTCAGTAAGCAGCCCAGAAGCATCACAAATTGAAGTGAGGTAAAAACTTGGTGTGCAGTTTAGTTCTATTCACAGTTGTTTTCAGCCATTAGATAATCCCTGAGAAGGAAGGGATCCATCACTTTATCCTCTTGATCTGAAAACAAGAGAAACAACATAAAAGGAAACTTGTATTGGTCATGCAGGACTACAGCTGGAAACATTTCAGCCAGCACATTTCTTCCATATCCAATGTTCAAATCATCAGCATTTGATAGAATGGATAGCAGAAACTCTCTCTTTGTAGTGATTATAAGTGGGCGTGCAATTTTAACCACATTATGAAAGACTGACCAGTGGAGGCCTGACTTTGATTCTCTATGGTGTCTAGGAAACTAAGCACACAGTAGAATTTGACATGTTTTAAGTGACTGCACTGTTTCCTACTTTTTAATTTATTTTGTATATCTCATAGTTTTGTTTGGTAATCTGTGTGGTCAAAATTCTAATTATTTAACTTAATCCTTTAGGTGTGAACATAGGTGAAGTACTAGATAAGCGCTACAATGTGTATGGCTACACTGGTCAAGGTGTGTTCAGTAACGTTGTACGAGCCAGAGATAATGCAAGAGCCAACCAAGAAGTGGCTGTAAAGATCATCAGAAACAATGAGCTCATGTAAGTTCAGAAAAATATGTGATGAAACCTTTAACAACACAGGTATTCACAAATCAAAATACGTTTAAGTGCCATTAAAAAAGTAAATATCTGTATAAGTATTGCAATTATAAAATGACAGAAGCTGTTCTTTTTAAGATTTTATTTATTTATTTTTAGAGAGGGAAGGGATGGAGAGAGAGAGAGAAACATCAATGTGCGGTTGCTGGGGGCCATGGCCTGCAACCCAGGCATGTACCCTGACTGGGAATCGAACCTGCGACACTTTGGTTCGCAGCCCACGCTCAATCCACTGAGCTACGCCAGCCAGGGAAGAAGCCGTTCTTTTGATGGGATTTTTAGTTGATAGCCATGTGTTAAATGTGAAGTACTAGAATTGTAGGCTGATTTATATTTCAGTGCATTTCAGTACCTACTATGTACACTAGTATCAACTTAGACTCCTTCCTTCTGCTGCATGGCTAATGTCCATCTTTTGCTAGGAGTATCTTAAACTCAAGACCAGAGGAGAGAATCAATAAAAGGATTATATTGATTAGTTGCCACTGATAAGAATGGTGGTAAAAAAGGAAAGCTGGTTTATTTAGATAGTTCTGAGAATTACTTGTATCTTTTATCTTTTGCCTTTTTCCTTTAATAGAATAGTTACGTAATTGCCACACATGTTTTAATGCATAATCTATACCACACACTAAGCTGGTATTAAAGTCAATTTATACTCTTTGTTCTGAAACACTAGAAAGAAATGTTGCAGATTTATAGTACATCTTAAACCACCCTAGACTTAAAAAGTTTTTTTTTGTTTTGTTTTGATGGTTATCCCAACCCCTGTAATATAGACACTAACTTTTTAAAATGTGGCTTATTGACAAATTATAACTAGAATTTCAGAAGATAGTCACATAATATTTAGTGAGACATTCCTTAATTAGACTCCTAAGGAACCAAGACTGTACATAGTATGGTTTCCACTTTTGTATAACATAATGTTTATGTCAAGACTTAAGAATAAAATGTGCAAGATTGACTTCCCTTCAAGCAAGGTGGGTTTATTCTTCAGTGTTTTTGTGTTGTTGATTGGTTATTTTGGAAATTAACATCATGAAAATAGTATTGATTTGGTATAATGTATTGTGTAAATGATAGAGTCTTATTATTCCTTAACAGATTTATTATTACTGGTTTTTAAAAAATACAAACTAACGTATCACCTGTGGTGCATCAGATTGGAACTTGCAAACATGTGCCACTTTTCCTAAATTCTGCATGTATTTAATTTTGACCAAATTTTCTTTTTTATTTCAGGCAAAAAACTGGTTTAAAAGAACTAGAATTCTTGAAAAAACTTAATGATGCTGATCCTGATGACAAATTTCATTGTTTACGGCTCTTCAGACACTTTTATCACAAACAGCATCTCTGTCTTGTATTTGAGCCTCTCAGGTACAGTGTTAAAACTTACACATTATGCTGAAAATTAAACTTCTTTATCTCTACCAACCTCACTTTAGATTCATCAATATTCAGCCAGTCCACCGCAAGAACTCTTAAAATGTTCAGTACCTGACTATTTAGTGAGGGGCACTGACCTCTTTTCCCTTACATTGTCAAATAAAAATATGACAACAGCCAACACAACAAGAGCTGTCTGGTGTGAGTGAATCAAAATTATACTTTTTTTTGTTAGATCAGCAAAAAATATGTTTTTTTGATAGGCCGCAGAATTTTAGTAGTTTATGTGTGCTATAAGATGAAGAAGGTTGAAAATTGCTGCTGTAGATGAATGACATGACAGATTTTCTGGGTATTTGATTTTTTTTTTTTTTTCATTGTGCCCTAGTTTTTGGTTGTTTTAACTTTTGGTTAAGAGCTTACTTTTTGACACTCATTGATGTATAAACATTGTTTGCACATTATGTGCCAGTTACTAATCACTTTTAGCCTTCAGCTCAACAAGAGAAACTCTCTGGAAATTGAGTACTTCAAGGAAGGATTAGGCAAGAATGAAAAGAAATGGGAATAGGGGAATTAGAAATACGATTTTGATCTTCAAAAGCATGGCTTTGTTGTTAGGCTTTCAAGTATAAACCCATTCTAAAATCAATATGAATTTTACCATTGCCTGTATTCTAGTTAATTTGAAAATTGAGTTCTACTGGAAAATTGTGATATGTGCACACCATTCCATATGCTCTAATTTCGCTGCAGAACAATTTATTAAATGTTTTGGACTGGGGTTTTTGAACAGAATATTTTCATTGTAATCCATATTTAGGGTTTAATATTACTTTATGCTTAAATGTTTTGCTTTTTTAAATGAACATTTTGCATTTTAACCCTGAACCATTTTTTTCTTTCCTAAAAGTATGAATTTACGAGAGGTGTTGAAAAAATATGGTAAAGATGTTGGTCTTCATATTAAAGCTGTAAGATCCTATAGTCAGCAGTTGTTCTTGGCATTGAAACTCCTTAAACGATGCAATATTCTACATGCAGATATCAAGCCAGATAATATCCTGGTAAGTCAAATAGCCAGGTTGCCTTGTATATTCATATACTACCTTACTGGTAATGTGAGATGATTATTACTCTAGAAATAAGATCGGAGAAGAATAATTTACTGTATGTATTACCCATTACAAATGACTTTACCAGTTTTTACTTTTTTGGTAATTGAGCCATGAAATTTTAAACCATAAAGAAAGTTGAGATGGGCCACTGTCCCAGTTTTTTCTTTTTGATTGTGGATTCACACTGTACACACTTATCCCAAAAGTGTTTTAATAATAATAACGATGGGCTTTCTCTGGTATTGGGGCGAAAAAAGTGCTGCACATGTTGCTGTTTTGAAATAAGGTATGTCTGCACTTCTTTGTTCTTTAATTTTATAGACTGATGGAGCTAAGGATATTTAAGAGTACTTCCTTCTCATAAGCAGAACTATGGAGTTTTTAAACATGCCCAGGAGTCATTCTTTTTTTCCCCTTAGTCTTTATTGCTTTAGAAGCTGTGCCTTCTGAGCCCAAACATAGTTAAAGCTTAGTCCTGGTTAGATATTAGATTCAAAGGCATATTTCATGGTCTTGACCTCTTTTAACTGACAACTTCTGATGTAGCATGCAGATTCACAGTGTTTATGTTTTTGAAATTTAGAAATATATATCATTATAATGTAATGATTAATGCACAAATACAGTATTTCCTTTTATACTGCTGCATTAATAATGAGGCATTCCATTTTGGTATGTTTGGTCTGAGTTTATAATGTATTGCATATCTAATGTAACTTGTCTTTAGGAGCTAATTACAGTGAAATGGTAGGTACATTATGAATGAATTGTAGACTTGTCTAGTCAACTTAATAGTTGATTTTTACCTCAATTTTTTTCTTTTTTAAATTGTAAAATAATTTTAAAGATAATTACACAGTGAACATCTGTGTAATCACCATGGAGGTTAAAGAATAAGACATTTGCCAGTATCTTAGAAGCTCTTGTTTTTAAAACTTTGTTTTTCTTTGAGTTAGTGTTAAACTAGTATAGATTTTCACAGACTCTGACACTGAATATTTTCCCTTCCTCAAGAAGGAAAAATAGGTATCAGAGACCACATGGAGCTGTTTAATGTAAATCCACAACCTTTAGCTGATGACTTGGGCTATCAGTGTGGTAGAAGTATCACATCCCTCATGAGAGGGTAGAAGATGTATAGCCAGACTGAAGTGCACCTAAATGTAGGTGCACCCAAATGCACCTAAAAGTGCACCCTGCTATCATTTAAGGCATTTTAGCCAATCGAAAAGTTCCATTGGTAGGTCCTAATTTTAAAATGGCCCTGGGTTTTTTCTTGCTATTTGCAACTGCATTTTTTTTTATCCCCTCCCAAGGATATATTAATTGATATGAGAGAGATAGAGGTAGGGGGGCAGAGAGACAGACAGACACTGATGTGAAAGAGAAACATCTGTCAGTTGCCTACTGTACTTGCCTTGACCAGGGATGAAACAAGCAACCTAGGTATGTGCCCTGACCGGGGATCGAACCTGCAGCCTTTTTCATGTACAGACAATACTCCAAACCAACTGAGCCACCTGGCCAAGGTGCAACTGCATTCTTAAGTAGCTAAATACAGTTGATACTTTAACAAGCTTTGAAAGTACTTTTCCTTTTGAAGCTACCTGTTTATTGATCCCCCAGATGAAAAGAATGCTTATTGTTGGGTCAGATAAAAATAATCATTTCTATCATTAGCCTAATCCCATGGGTATCTGTAATGGACCAGCCTGTAACACTGACCAAGCTTTAGCACATCCCAGTAGAGAGTGCCTGGGGTTATTTATTTAAAGTGTTATGTTTCTTGTGGGTGGGAACAGTAGGCCAAGTTCAAGTCCCAACTCGGAATTTGTGTGTGTCTCTTTTGAAGGGGGGAAGGGACTCTGGAATATGAATTATCTGCACTTGTTAATCCTGAACATGCTTCTGACTCATGAGTGGCAGCAATCATGGGAGCAGCTCCAGCCTTTCTCAGCAGATGTCACTGTTACTGTGTATGTTGAAGTATTTACAAAGGAAAAAAGAAACAAATGACTAATACAGAGTTCATGTTTATCCGTTTCGCCAAGTATATTTAACACTTTCTTAACTAATACTTTCCTTATATTTAAGGGATTTAATAATTTTTAGACTCAAGTGACTGCTAAATTTGGGATGGTCTAGCAGCTTCCAGTGAAAGTTTTTATTCCATTTTTGTCCAAATTTATTCTGAATCATCCTTCTTCCATTGCCATCATAATTTTCTGGCAACTGAAAGTTAGTCTAAGTCTGATCCCTTATTAATGAATGTCTTTGTGCTCCTTAAGTAGTAACTTGACTTTATTCAGGTGTACTGGGGATTTTTAGAAGATGCTTTGTGTCAGTGGTATTTTTCTCTTACTACCCCATCTTTTTCTAAATAGCGTTGGTTAAAATTAATTTTACTTTGTATTATTTCATATTTCTTCACTGAGAAAAGTTCTTTAGTTATAATTAAACATTTGGTAGCTCTTAAATTTTCATAATTGGGAAATTGAGTTATAAAATAAAAAAATTTGTAAATGAGTGACTTTGTTCTCAATATTGGAAATAACTTCTCAAAGCCAATTATTTTTATCTGATTGTCTTAATTATCTCTAACATGAATTAAACTTCCGTGATAAAATGTTTTGCAGGTTAATGAATCAAAAACTATTTTAAAGCTCTGTGATTTTGGGTCGGCTTCACATGTTGCGGATAATGACATAACTCCTTATCTTGTCAGTAGATTTTATCGTGCTCCTGAAATCAGTAAGTGTCTTCAAATGTTCTTTGACCTGGGCCATCATTTATGGTGGAAACAGCATAATTTAATGTCTAAGTATTGTTTTCATCACATTCAGCAGCTGCACGAGGTCATTCATGAAGAAGGGAACCACAGCAAGTTCATCCTCAGGTGGAATAGATGGTAGTTGAGACAGGAGTCTTGATCATGTCTGGCAAGAGTAGCAAAAACAGTGTGGAAAATCCTCGACTTCAGAGGACTGCTCTTGATTACTCAGGGTCTGATTATCAAATTTATGAATGGTGTAGGACCTTCGTTTTTTCCAGTTGCCTTGGTTGAGGCTGATTAGCACCAAAGGTGAAATGAAAAAAGAAAAGATACATACATTTTTCTCTGCCCCTTCAATTCCTTCCCCACTGCCTCATTTTCTAAGGTTTTAAGTTTGAGTTGTTAAGAATTAATGGGAAAGAACATGAAACTAATGCCAAAGCAAGATATTAAGATTGTGGTTATATAGTTCAAGCTAAATTAATACTCCATTAATGGAAATAAATAGTAGTTGGTTGTTTTTATCATCATATATTTAAACTTCCATTTTGTTTCCAGTTATAGGTAAAAGCTATGACTATGGTATAGATATGTGGTCGGTAGGTTGCACCTTATATGAACTCTATACCGGAAAAATTTTATTTCCTGGCAAAACCAATAACCATATGTTGAAGCTCGCCATGGATCTCAAAGGAAAGATGCCAAATAAGGTAGGACATTAATGTGGGCTTGTATTTTTTTTAAGGTCCTAGCATTATTTTCCTATGGACTGACTGATGGATTACTGACACTGATTACTAATGGCTATAAAACAGTTGCAGAGAGGCAAGTATGTGGCTACTGGGATTCCTTTAGCTCTTTCTCATTTCTGGTCTTCAAATTAGTGGTTCTAAATCAGCCAAGAGCTATCAAAAGAGAATAGAACTCTGTTTTCCTTTTCCCTTCTGAAGTTTGTCTTTGTGCTGCTCCTTACCCCCTTGAATTAAGCAGACAGTAGGGTAGAATTGGAATTGAGGAAGAGGGAATTGATGAACATAACTGTTAAACACCATATATATTTTATATATACACATGTATATATGTATACATATATATGAGATATATATGTCATATCTGTATAGATACAGATACTATAAATCTATATATATAATATATATACTGTTTTATGTGTCTGTTCTTTCGGAAGCATCAGTGTTCTTAGGAGCACAGCCTTACTGGTAACAGCATAAACATGCTTGACAGTTGAAATGGAAAAAGATGCCAGTTAGGTTAGTTAGATGTAAGGAAGGGCTTGGTCATCAGAGGAGGAATGGGTGAACATTGAAAGAAGAACTTGATGGCAATCAGTTTATTAAAGTTTAGAAGTTATTTGGGAAAGGAAGGTACCAAGAAAATTTACTTGAAATGACATTTTTCTAACATAAAAATACTCATCCTTAATGCTTCAGCTGTAGTATCAATTTGTTTAACACAAAGCCAGAACTTTAGGGACTTACAAAAATGTCTGAGAGCCATATCTTAGACTTTTATAATTTCAGTTTATGTTATGGTGGACTTGTTAGAATAAATTATACAGAGATTAGCTGTTAGTATTTTAATGAGATCTATCCTGTATCATTATAGGGCTATTTGAGAATAATTTGTAAAATGTCTTTAGATTTCTTAACTGTAAAAAGAAAAAACCCCAATTGTGTGATACTTTTCCTCTCCAAGAACAAATGATTTTAAGTCTTTGTTTAATCCTCAATTTGGAATAGTGAAAGCAGAACTTGATATCATAATTGGTTTAAGTTACTGCCTGGGAAATGTAATAATTTCATGTTATTAAGTTGAAGTTTTGTTTTATTTCCAGATGATTCGGAAAGGCGTATTCAAAGACCAACATTTTGATCAAAACCTTAACTTCATGTACATAGAAGTTGATAAAGTAACAGAAAGGGTAAGTCTATTTTAAGTGTCAAGATTAGATGATTATCTTACTGTTAGCAAATGAGCTGGGTCATAGGAGCTGTATTTTAAAACATTAAAAATAATTTCTTTTTGGGGTTGGCCAATTCCTGAACAAAATAACATCAAGTTAATGAGAAAGATGAAGAGATTTTTAAAATGTGTAATACGAGTTTATTTTTATTATGGGTCATTTTTAGGCCCTTCTCATCTTTCCTTTGGATTGCTTTTTTGATCTGGCCTCCCATCTACCTTAGTGATCTTTTTGAAAACAAATTTGATCATGTTATTCTCTGCTTAAAAATCCTTTCCTAGAGTTTGTTACCTAGATAATATACTTAAATTTCTCACAGTGACAAACTAAGTCCTCTGTAATAGGAACTCTGCCATCTTCAACAGTTTCCCCTTTCTTCACTGTACTCTGTAAACTCTACCATTTCACACTTGGCAAATAGCTGAGGGGCATGCTGTGGCTGTTCTAGACCCCTGTGGCTTCATTCACAACCATCCTGACCTTATCTGCTTCCTGTATTTACTTGCTCATCCCCTAAAAATGTACTCAGCTCCAAGGCTCAGGTGAAATACATACTCTGTATGAGCCTTTCTAAATACCTCCAGGTTGAAGTAAGGACTTACTTATTTTGGCCCCATTATATCGTGTGTTTCTAGCTGTCAGAGCACTTACCACTACACTGGGCCAACTCGTGTACTTGTTTGTCTCCGCTTCAGAGTGGGAAAAGCACAGTTCACACAGCAAGCATTTACTGTTCTCTTTAATTACCTAATATTTTTGAATTCTCAAGTTTTAATTACTTAACTAAGTTTTAGAGTTCTGATACTATTTTTACAAAATTACATTACAGAATAATGTATTTAAAAAACGTATAACTAACTTGTGGTTAACATTTTCATTTGTTTTCTTAACTGCTTCCTTGAAAAGATGTAGAGGATAGAGGCAGCCACTAAATACCCAAATGAAGAGATGATTATTCCTACACATTAGTATTTTTGGTAGACAAAAAAAAAAACAGTCTGATGTGTTACATGTTTTTAGTAACTTCATTTAGAGATACGCATTTTAAAAATTATTTTTAGGAGAAAGTTACTGTCATGAGCACCATTAATCCAACTAAGGACCTGTTGGCTGACTTGATTGGGTGCCAGCGACTTCCTGAAGACCAACGTAAAAAAGTGCACCAACTAAAGGACTTGTTGGACCAGATCCTAATGTTGGACCCAGCCAAACGAATTAGCATCAACCAGGCCCTACAGCATGCCTTTATCCAGGAAAAAATTTAAACGAGATGAAGAAGCTCCAATGGTTTGAGTAATTAAATACAAAGACTGAAGAAATTTCACAGCAGTTTATTAATGTATATAAACTTATAAATATTTCTCCAGCAAATTTGAGGAAGCATGATATATTTGAATTAACACCAAGGGTGATATTCTTTTAGAAATGTTAGTTAATCTGTTTTGTGTCTTATGTGAAATTTCACTGTAGAAGTTGTTTTAACTGCCAAGACTGCACAAAATTACAGTGCTAATGTATATGGTTGCAGTTCACATAAAAGACAAAAGCATCTGTTATAAAATAAGTAGTAATACTGGGTGGTTGATTTATTTTTAGCAGACTTGGCTTCATTTTGGTCTTCAGGTAAAATGGCCAGCATAAATGCTGTTTATATTCACATTTTCCTAGGTGTGTGTGTGCAGGCCACAGCAGCATGCCCTTGGTGTAGTCATTGCCGAAGGGGTCTGTTCCTTCTTGAGCCTGCCTGCAGGGACGGTCTCCTCTTTTAAGCAGGTTGTGTACAACATTCAGTACACTGAAGGTAAGCTAAACCATCAACATCACTGGTGTTTTAAGATGTTATTTTATTGGAACAATTGACAAATGAGGATATTAGCTTTGTGGCAGAATTCCCTGCATGTGTGATAACTGATCTTGTTTTATTTTTTGGCATTGCAACTGTGGCATAGTTACAATTTCTGTTCTATTCATCACATTTAAAATTTAAAGAGTATGCGCTTGATGGATAGAGCCCCTTCAGTGTACTGTTTCTTAATTAACTTTAATTTTTTAAAATCAACTTGCTATAGACTTTATACATTTTGTTAAATACAGTTATTAGTGACATAGAAACAATGCGTAGTTTTCATTTACTAAATTACAAATGTTGAGGCATAATTGAAAGTCCTCATATTTAAAAGTTAGACAACATAATGAAATTTTTAACTATTTGTATGTCATTTTGAAAGTGTACTGGTTTATGGTAAAAGTGTTTTTTGTTTGTTCATTGTTTTCATTATTTGTGATCATGTTGTCTTTCAATACAGGCATAAACCTTCCACTCTTGAACAAAGCAGCTGCTTTTTAAAAGCGGTAATTGCTTCTTTACCTTTTATTTCTTTTGTAAATGAAGCTTTTCTTTAAGAATGTGACTTTAAAGTGTTGTCTATTGCATAAAACAGTTGACACTCACTTATTGTAAAGTGAAGATTGTTCTACTGCATGTGAAGTGGACCATGCAGATTTCTGTATGTTCTCAGTATGCATCACTAGATAATAAAGTCTTTTGTGAACAAGGCATTTGTAGCCATTTTTAAAAATTTTTGTCTTCAGTGCTGGTAAGTCAGGTAAACCATAAATAGTTAAAAGCAACCTTTCGTTTCTTCCTTAAAGTCTTAAACAATTATTTGCTAATAAAGATGTAAACCTAGCCAAAAGTTTATTATTTTATTAATAATTAGGATCCTAATTATTTCATCAAAAAATTCTACAAATATTGTCAGCTTTCAGTGTAGTGAGATAATTCCTGTAGGTTATGGGGTATAAATCAGGATTTAACTAATGTTTCTGCTATTTTCTCACTTTTCCTTTTGATGGTGCGGAAAGAGAAAAAAGGAAAACGGGGCACAGGCCATTCAACGCCTTCTCCAAGGGGTCTGATTTGCTGAGACACCAGCTTCACCTTCTTAACAAGGTTATTTCTGACAGCATGTGTAGATAAACATTTAGCCACAGTTTAAAACAAAAATCATGTAAATCAGCTTGGTTTTGCAACACAAAGGAATTGTATTTTTAACATGATGGAAGAGAATTTTCAGAAATTTATGTAATATTTTCCGTTTGGGTTATAAGATTAATTCTTGTCTCCCTGAGGAGTATGGAAAGTAATCAGATTTTAGGGGCTTAAATAATATTTTTAAATTGTAAATGGGATTTTTTTATTCACCCAGGCACTAATTACAACAAGCATGCACATTTTGGTGCATTCAAGAATGGAAAATCAGAATAGCAGCATTCTTCTGGTGGGTTTTGCTCCATTTAAAGACATGAAATGAACTACAGCCAGGAAGGTGATAGATAATATAATAAGCCAACTTTGATTCTATACCCCATCTCTTCATGATTTAGATTTACTTAAATAAATACAAGGTGGTGTTCATCTTCAGGTAGAGTGAAGCCTTGTAAATGAGGCATCACTGGTGCAGCTTTCTACCTTAAATGGAATGGGTAGAGATTTTTCCCACCATTATTTATTTTGTATTGGTGATAATATGCTGCATATTCAAATCTTTGTAGTTATTTTCACTCAGAATAACATATGATGCTTCTGGTGACTTTTATAGCTTCATTTTATATAATTAAGTTAACTTCCACTAGAAACAGTTCATCTTATGCCTTCAAAACTGTTACATATTCTTTAAAAAACAAAGTTGCTTGTTACTTGTTCTTTGTGTTTTAGGTGCAGCTCAGTGGAAGATGATGACAACCAGAAGACATGAACTAAGGTTTCTGTTCCATAAAAGATTTAAAAAAAAAAAAAGAATTCTTCATTTAAGTTTTGTCTAATTTTTTAGTTTTCAGCATTATGATTTGGGTTTCATTAATGTTTGGTACTTAGAATAGTAGTGCTATTGTGTTCATTTGTAAAGTGCTTGTTTGATCATGCTCCTGCCTCTTCCCCATCTTTCCTTCCCTAAAATAAAAATAGTGGTCAAATTTAGTGGTATAGAAGACTCTTGAATGGTGAGAGTCCTTATATAACACATAAGGTTTTCAAATTTGGTTCCTATGGATTATTGGGGAAACAGCAAATATGAAGATAGCATACATTAAAACTTAGTCTTTAGCTTTAGGTTTCTTATCTCCTTGGCAAATCTGTAAAGATTTAAAAGAATAGGATGTAAAAGGATAGGAACTGGAATTTTGAGAATACTATTCAACTACTGTTTAATGCTTTATTCTCCAACTTGCCCTTTAGTAATTTTAATTTTGACTGGTGCTCCAGTCATGGTCTTAAAGGAAGCAAAATAGTTGGAGCCATTGTTAATTTTTCTTCCTAAGGGAGATGAGAGATGATATACTATAGATCTTTTATATGCTCAAATTAAACATTCGTAGATTAATCTATTTGACAGGAACCCTACAAACAGTCTTTATATACGTGATATTAGAGTTCATAGTTTTGCTGAGGAAGAGATTTGGAACTCTACAAGGGCTCTGTTAGATTGAGGTAATTTTGTGAATGATCTTTTAAAAACCTACAGTCATGTTTCAGAGTAGCTGTGTAGTTTTCAAATACAATTATCTCATGAAGTTTTTGCTTTATTACACTTTATAGCAAAAAGTGATAGCAAGTATGTCAAGTGATTGTCAGACTCAGGGTTCATAAGTCTTCAGAGATAGCTCTTAAAGATTTCATAGTTCTTTCTGTATTGGGGGGAATAGTTGAGATTTTTAGAAAGTATACACATTTCAGACACCATTCTCTAGGTAGCCCTTATTCTTGAAGGTTATCAGAAATTAGGTTGGAATTTTAAGGCTTTGAAGGCATGGAGCATCTTGTCATAAATCTTGAGACTGTCCCAGTACTCGTATTCATCCCTAAATCCTCCATAGCATCTTGTTCCCAGTGCCTATCTCATTCCCCTCAAAATTACTTTTTTTCTGAAAATAATTTTGTATTTTTTATTAAAAGAGTTTTTACTTACAACCATTATAATTACCACTTTCTCCTAATTAACAAATATACAGGATATTTCTACAATATGGAAAATTTATGTTTTGTCGTATGTGGTAGAGGCAGTGAAATGTTATGTTCTCAGATTTGTTCTATGTCTGAGAACAAGTACTTAAACTTTTCTTGGACTTACTCTATCATTTTGTAGCAGAACTCTATCTAGCTAGGTAGAAATAAAATCTCTGAAATGAAACACAGAAATCACGTATATGAAAATTTAGGCCAAGTAGTTAAGGAATGCCCTTTTAAATCTTGGAGATAAGAAAGAAGCCAAATATTCAAATATGTAGCTTCTTCCCTTAGTTATAATGATATCATTAGAAATTCGGTTCCATAAAATGTTTTTCTTCATAGTGTCCTAGTTCAGGCATATATTCAACATGAATTTTATCATGCTTCTCCTAGATGGAATGTCCTTATAGAAATGTTCAATACAAATTCATTTGTGTATTTCACATGTTAATAATGTACACTAAATTGAGTTTTAAAATGTTTTCCAGTTATTTTGATAGATATCGTCATGGCATCTTTAATTGTTCTTTTCCTTTTATATGTAGGGTAAGGGACTGTTCTTCTGAAGAATCTTTCCATTTAGTGATCAAGATATGGAAGCTGAAATCTGAAAATACTCACTATGTATTCTGTTTGTGATATCATTTGAATTGTAACTTGCATTTTAGCAACAATATTCCCAATCAACTTATTGGGAAAACATAATAAAATATGCCACTTGTTACTATATTGTCTCCTGATTTTTCCTTTGCTTGGTTATGTTGTTTTAGATTAAAGACACCATTTCTTACCTGATGTTTCTTAGGTGCTGTTTCACTGTTCACAGATATGCTTCAGAAAATATTCTGTGCTAAAACATGATTGGTAACTGCTGGGTTAAATTGAAGTTAAATATTTACTTTAAAAGTTCTCAAAAGACATCTGATGTGCTCTGTGAATCTCAGTGAAGAGGAAAGGTGTGGAGGGAAGCTTACCAAACTACTGGACAGAAAGAATCGACCCTTTCACAGAACTGCAGCTTGGAAACATCCTGTTTAATATGATTATTCTTTCAAACATAAATGGTTTCTCTGTTGATGCAGAGAAACAAGTGTAGAACATACACCGAAGGGTATTGTATTCATGATCTTTTTACATGTATTGTTTATTTGATTTTCTTAGTAATAGAAGGATAATAAGCAATGAGATAACTCCCTGTTCTATAATGATATAAATAAATGGCTTTGCCCTGGCTGGTGTGGCTCAATGGATTGAGCGCCAGACTGCAAACCAAAGGGTTGCAGGTGCAATCTCTAGTTAGTGTACATGCCTGGGTTGCAGGCCAGGTCCCTAGTATGGGGTGTAGGAAAGGTGAGTGCACATCAATGTTTCTGTCCCTCTCACCCTCTCTTCCCCTCTTTCTAAAAAATAAATAAAAATTTAAAAATAAATGGCTTTATTGTAGATGCGTTGACCTAACACCCTCAGTGTTCCCACTTTTTATTCTCTCCTAAGAAAATTTCTTGAGCTTTTGAAAACTGAATAAAATACTTAGGATATCCTGTGAATCTTTAACACATGCAAAGCAGGATTGGAGGATGGAGGGCCAGAGTGTCTGGCTTTGTAGACTATCCTCCACCCAGCTGGAGCTACCTGCCACTCAGGCCAGTAGACTAATTTCGTCAAATCCTTATTTTTATAAGAAATAGGGCGAAAGGCAGTGGTTCTAGATAGCCTTGTAAAGGCCCTGATTATAGTTTTCTACTTGGGCTGGCAGAGGATTAAGAGCTACATAATTTTCTAAAGTGGCTGATAAAGAAGGGTCATGAGATCCTGTTTTTATTAGGGAAAGTAGAATGTGTAGTGTATTAGATTAGGGAGGGCAGTGCAAACGAGAAAAACGGCTTTGTTTTAGGGTTCAGTTTAAACAACAGATTCCTGGCAACTATCTTTACTAAGCATGACATTAAAAATTATTAGTTCCTTTGCTTTGTAATTGAAATCAGCTGTTAGTATATTTTTTACATAACTGTATTTAGGACAATTTTGGACTCTAATTGAAAATTATCTGGTAGGTAGGTGTTGCAGTAGCTTCACTTTGTTTAGGTTTAATAGTATCCTAAATAAAGTAGCCTGGTTGTTTCCACTAAGAAATTTACTGGTACCAATCGGTACTGCCCCCCCCCCCCCCCCCCCCGCAACCTACACACTCAAAAGAACAAAAGCAATCCTTAGTGTGTGATCAACTCCATGGAACCTCTGACATACTGACCCCTTTCTACCTGTACCTCCAAAATGCTCCTCCCTACCTCCAGTTTCCCATCTCCTGTGCTTACTCCCACTCCTGGTTTTACTGCAATCCAGGGTTTATGTCTGCTGCTCCACACTGTGGCTGGTGCCTCATGCGTGCTTTGTGAGAGGTGGGGAGTTGTTAATCTGGTTGAGTTGTTACTCCAGTGACAGTAAATTCAGTGCTGAGGCGGCCCCTTCTATTTAGTTCTGTGTCATCCCTATTTTTATCTTTTTTAAAAATTTACCACCTAATCCCCTCATTACATGAGATAAAAAATATTCTATTCACCTTACAAATGAAAGTGAACAGATTAAGGACCCTGCCTGAGGTGTTAGAACTTGTTAAGCGGTAGAGCCTGGGTTTGAATTTAGCTGTCTGGCACGGAGCCAGTGCTTGTAATTGCTGTCATGCTTAAGAATCTTCAGTGATAAAGTCTATTCCTCAGTCAGATACTTGGAAGGGTATCTACTACAGTGATTGTTCAGGATACAGTGGTGAACAGAACAGTCATGTTCTTCCCTAAGATTTTACAAATAAAAATTGTATCATTTAGTCCTAAGGGAATAAGATCCAAGCGGGTGAAGAAAGTAGAAATTATAACAGGTGCAAAGGACTGGTAAATGAGGTTCAGGATTTAAGTTAGAACTTTGAGGATGAGTGTAAAAAGTTGATGGAGAAAGATCAGTGCCAATTGGAAAGAGTAAAAATATAAGTTCAAAATTGTGTTATCCTGTGGAAGGGATACTATACCATTTTGGATAATGACATTAATTGTATAGGATTTAGGTAAAATTATATAACAAGGTATCCTGAAGAGTTAAGTTTATCCTCTATTGCTGTGTTGATATTGTTCCAGAAAATTCTTTGAAACCAACATAAAAACTAATCACACTTTCTTTGACCCCTGCCTGTAAGAAAACAGCCTTACTCTTTTACTAAAGATAGAATAGAGCAACTACAGTTGCTCTACTCAACATTTATTTGAATTATTCTTTCGTTCACTTCATGCATCCCTAATACAAATATTTCATCTTATTTGGGAGGATGATACACAGAAAATCCCTGACTGCCTTTGTGTGTGGGATTGGGGAGAGGGAGAATCCTTTTACTTTTCATGTTTACCTTTGGGTAATCTTTTAAGTTTTAATTATGGCTTTATTTTAATGTTTAAGAAAAACTAAACTCACCAACCATTCACTAAAACCAAAGCACACTATCTCCCCAAATATCCAAACTCTAACTGTTACGTTAAGTTATTCCTTTACTGTGTGTTTGAAAATGTGATCTGAGAACCACCTGCATTAAAATTGTCTGGGATGTGCGTTTATATTTTAGGTGCCCAGGCCTCACTCCCAAAGATTGTTTGTGTAAGCCTGCAATAGAACCCAGCACTCGACTTTTTTGTTTCATTGATTCTTAGGTGCAGTAAGTGTCAATCAGCTATTTCCCTTTTCACCAGTTCATGAGTTAAGCTGTAGCTTATTTTGAGTTTCAACTAACCAAGGGTAAGACTTCGAGTAACAGAGAGCCTTGGGGTGGGGGTGTGAGTTTCATTAACCTGAGATTCTGATTGCTTAGTAGACAGTAACTTTTCCCATTTTTCTTTGGACATTGAAAAACAATTAGATCTGGGAGAAACAAGGGGGTAAGGGGAAAAGAAGGGGAAGGGTCAAGTTAAAGAACATGTAAGAAAGGCATGGACAAAGACAACTAGGGGGGTGAGGGAGGATTGCATGTGGAAGGTGGGGGGTAGGCAGGGCAGGGGAGAGTAATGGGGGGAAAATGAGGACAACTGTAATTGAACAACAACAAAAAAATAACTATTAGATGTGAGTAAAGAGGGTTGTTTCATGCCTAAACCTCCAGTTAGGCCCCAAAGAGAATTGGTCTTATTTTCAAATGACAAGGGCTTGGGAAATGGAAAATTTTTTTCACAGCAGAACTTTGAGGATCTTGTATATGAATTTAACAAAACAGCAACTTATTTTGCTTTTAATGGCCAGATACCTAAGGATATGTCAAAACAATAGACAAAAGAGACTTCGGAGATAAGAAAGAAAAGAAAAAAGGTAACGGGAATAATTTTTTAAAAAAATCACTGGTAGAGGTAACTAACTCTTAGGTATATATAATTGAACACAGGAATAGCTAGCAGCAAGAAGTCAATGATACCATTTATTGATGATGGAAATATACCAGGAAACAATCACAACAAAAGAACGATCTTTTGAGTGGAACAGTTTACTAAGTAAAACATTTTGAAATATAACATGCAAAAGATTGTCTGTTACCTTGGGTTGATACATAGACTGATCTCAGCAGTGGTTTCCATAAGTTCCACTCCATGAGCACATCAAGTAATTTGTGTGCCTGTGCATGTTTAATACCTGCATCTCGAAATGATGAACCATTTTTAGCTAGGCTTCTTATGATAAATTTGCTCACATTGAGGCGCATAGGGGGAAATGTTATTTTTGCTCAATGGGTGAGCACTTACCCTTAGCTATAAATGAAGGTGATAAACAGTATCGCTTTTGAATATAGAATGATCTGTTCAATGCTATGTGTTTTCGGTAAAGTTTCTTTTTGGTCCTTGGTGCCTTGATTTCTTCTGTGTGATTTTCAGGAAAAGACAAATTTATGGGTGAAACTGGTATTAGAGACCTTGGTGGCAGACAAGGTCTTGCTGAGACCACTTTAACCAGTGATTGAGTTGTTTGGGCAGTAGTAGGATTGGTTGAGAGTTCTTGGCATGGATTTAAAATGGAACTTTTGGGATTCTTGAAAGCATCATAAGTTGCCATCAAATGTTTTGTTGTGGATGAACCTTTTAGAGATGGTGGTTTAGAATTCCACTTATATTTGCCAGCAGTGCTCCAGTTCCATTTTGAAGCATTTTGTTCAAGCTTGTAAGCACCAGAATTATTTTTTCTTTTTTCTCTAGCTTTATCTACACAAGTTGTCTGAAGACTTACAGAGTCAGAAAGTTTTGGCTGTCTTGGTTTTGGTATAGTTTTGGAGGAAGAGGGTCGTTCAGTAACTGCTGGAGTACAGAAGGTAGTTGGTAATCTTGGCCTCTCTTTTTGTATAGTCGTATGTTGTAATCGTTCCAATTCCAATAAACGAGTTATCAAATGTTCAATACAACTTTCTGGAGATTCTACTGTTGCTTTCCAATTTTCAGATTTTGAGACAGCTAATTTGTGCAAGTCCAGAGTATTGAAAGGAGGAGGAAGAAAATCAGGATATAGAAATACTTCACTTGGTTCTTCTGTGAAAGATTCTTCAACATTTTCTATTGTTTCTGGCTTTAAGTTCAGGTCCATCTTTTTAAAATAGCTGAGTAAAGTATCACTTGCCTTTTCATTTTCTGATAAATCACTTTCATCTGTTAAATTTTCTTCTACACTGCTATTTCCATATTTCAAATTCCAATTTGGAGCAGATAAAGTTTCACCATTGTTGTTTTCTATAGTTGAACATAAATTAACATGAGCCTCATTTCTGTCTTTAAAAAAGTCTCCGTCGGCATAGGGCCAGCAGAGACTTACTGATGTCGGCAGTTCAGAGTAAGAACCAACTTGCTTATCAACTGGAGCACTTGTTAGTGAGTGGTTCAGAGTGAAGAACTTTATGGGATTGTTGGTTGTATTAAAGCCAATTTCCATAGAAGGTTTTTTGAAATCCCTTAAAAATGATTTAATTAATGAATGGCTTGTTGACTAAAATTAAAATGCTATTAAATAAGAATGAGTAAGTAACCTTTATTAAAGACTGGTTAATGTTTAGTTCCTAATGACATATGTGTATCTATCTATCCATCTTAACAGAATATGTTAATTTTCAAGTATGCTCTGATTATATACTACTATATACATTTTTAAACTATCAATTAAACTATTGATGGGGCATCCCCTTATCATGCAGACAATGAAATCATTATAACTACAAATGGCTAACTGTGGCTATGAATGGCCACTAGGTTAAAAGTGGTTAATTATATCTGTCTGCCTATAAATATTTTGTACGTGCATTTATGCTCTCTGAAAAGGACACTTTCCAACTCAATCTGAAATTACAGTGAAATGTTTATTAACCCAGAATTAGATAAAAGTAAACTCTTAAAGAACATAGTTAGGTTACTTACTGGATAAAGGATTTTATTTTGTGGTCATTGTGGTTTTTAAAAATTATTCTAACAAAAAAGTATTCAAAATAATGTATATCAAACAAAAATTACCCCAGATATAGTCCACAGTAATTTTCATCTGATAGTGCTCTTTTGCTTTAGAAGCAAATACTTCTGGGTATTATAGTAAAATGAAACTGCAAAAAAGCCAGGCTACAGAATACTCAGTTTATTGTTAAATAGAAATACTGACATTGAAAGATTTGATCCACTAATTGGATCAAATTAATCCTGTTGTGTGTGTGTGTATGCGTGTGTATAAATATTATACATGTATGTGTGTGTGTATATATATATATATATATAAAATGGAATATATATTCCATTTAGCTTTTAAAGGCAGTTTACCATTTCTACAGAAAAGGGTAAAAATTTATGCATTTACTTAAATATTAGGTGTACTGACTTGCCTTTGAAAAAACCACAAGAAAACTATTTAAACCTACAATTGGTAATAGGCACAATCCATGTCATGCAGTAAAAAGAGCAGGGTTCTGGAGACAGAAGACCTAGGTTTGGCTCCTTTGCCACCAGGGAGCATAATGGAAAGGAGAATGCCTACCTTGGAGGTGATCTAAGAAATAAGGCAATTAAATGAATGGACTTTGCAAAAGTGTTAAACACTGAATGAAAATTACTGTTACTTTGATTCTCTTGTAGATGGTATATTGAGAAAAATCTCCATAATAAAATATTTCATTGATACCAACTTTTCAACTCTGCAATATTATTAGGCCTTCCCAGTATTAACAGCAAATGCCTAACAAATACATTATTCTGTTTGGTCCTGACAACAACCCCATGAAATAGGCACTCTCATTTTCTACCTTTTATGGGTAAGGAAACTGAGGCAAGTCTGGTTAAGGTCACACATCTAGTAAGTGGCAGAGCTGGATTTAAACCCAGGTGAGGGGATCCCATGTCTGTGGTCCTAGCCTGAACTCTGCTGTTTGCACTTCTGCTAGTTAGCATGACAGAATTCATTTCATTTGACCCTTTACCTTGAAATCCTTGTTCCCAGCTGAGTTCACTAGTAAAACAAGCCTTGCCTATCCCTATCAGCTCCAACATTCCCTTAGGACATTAATCAGTACAATCCCTTTAGCACTTTGATTTCACCCTTCAAAGTTTAGCAGTGGGTGAATTTATCCAGAACCTCCAATTGCTGCCATCAAATGAAACACCCTATTGTCAAAACTGGATACAAAAAGAGGAATAGAACTCAAGTCCATTAAATAATACTCTGTATGTAAAAGTGACACATAACAGTGTTCAATAAATCATATCCAAATAACAGCAACCTGTATTTTTAAGAATCATTATAGCTGATTCTAATGTACACTAAATCTTAAGAACCAAATAATAAGAATTCAAATCCTGTAAGGTCTCAGAAGCAATATCCTATTGTGGTTATGAGCATGAATCAAGCTACTTTTATATTCTGGTACTACCATTCATTAATTGTATGATGTTGCACAAGTTCTTTAACTTGTCATCCGGCCTCAACGTCCTCATCTATAAAACAGGGATGATGATAACAGTACCTACCTTATAGGATTGTTGTGAGGATTAAATAAGTTAATACATATAAGAAATTGTTCCTAGCACATAGAATATTACAATACTTTCTCATACAAGTCCTTTTTCCTTCAATGAGAAGTCTAGACTCTTGTCCATCTAAACCCTCACTGTAACAGCATAGTAAACTCTCAATGGCCATATAATGATTATCTCTGTAGTGTCTGCCAGCCACTTTCTATTTTAGAGTGAGTTTCTATAATTTCCCATTATTTGCACACACTACTTTTTTGTGGTTGTTTTTTTTGTCCTAATACTTCAGATAAGTAGTTAACTCATCTATATTTAAATTTATTTCACTAATTTAGGGGTTTACAAAAATATCCTCTTACCTGTTATCCATGGTACTTCCTTTGTTAAGAGGATAACTCCATAACTGACATATCCTAGTCTGATGACAGAAAAGTCATGGGCAACATTTTAGCAACTGCATGCATTTTTTTAAAATAATACTTTAGGAAAAGAGTATGATGAATAAAATCCCACCTGTGTTCTTTTGTGAGCATTCTCTGACAAATTAAGCTCTAGCATCAGTTGCTCTACTGGAATTTCCAAATGGTTCTATAAAGCAGCAGAAGACTTTTAAACACAATATATCTCTGTTCCCTACTCCTGTTCTAAGACTATATAGTTGTTGTAACTAAGAAATATATAGTTTCATCTAAGAAATATATAGTAAAATCCTGTAATACTCCCTTATCATTTGTTTTTACTGACATCAGGAATTAGTATAATCTTATAAGTACCAACTACACAGTGTTAACTAATGAGCCTTGAATATTATTAAGATGATCATATTTAACTAACAGTTAAGTGTTTTCTATTTTGATAAAAAAAGTAAATGAAAATTAATTTTCTCACTACTTCAAAACAAAATGTTAACCATTTCAACTGCTTTAGATACCTTAATGGCTGAGACCATTTTCCTTTTGGCAATGACTAGAAAACACTATATTCACTACAAAGTTAATTTCCATTTATAGAATTGTATATTGAAAAAATTTAACATATCCCTGGCTGGTGTGACTCAGTTAGTTGGAGCCTTGTCTCGTGCACCAAGATGTTGCCAGTTTGATTCCTCCTCAGGGCATAGCCAGGTTTCAGGTTTGATCTCACTTGGAGCGCATATAAGAAGGCAGCCAATCAATGTTTCTCTTTTACACTGATGTTTCTCTCTCTCTCCCTTCCTTTTTTTAGAAAACAATGAAAAAATATCCTTAGGTGAGAATTAAAACAAAAGAAAAATACTAAAGGACACATGGACAAAACCAAGGTGGTGTTGCGGGGAATCAGGGGAGGGAGGTGGGGATTGCTGGGGTGGGGGGTGGTGGTGGTGGGGAATAAATGCAGAAAAAAATAACATAATAAAATATTAATTTAATGATCAATTTGCAGCCCTGTAAAAAACTAATGGCTTTGACTTCATTAAAGAACTCCACAGAAATGAAAAATAAAGTTTAACTTTGAGGAAAGATTTTTTTAAAGAACATACAAATAATTGTAAAATAATGTTTTGTGAATTATTTAAAGCCAAACATTTATCCTTACCTTGTTACTTTTGCCTGAAAGAATGTATATAAAAATAACAATTAATAGTTACATAAAGCTAGTTGCACTAAAAACAAACCCCCTTTAATATGAGTGGTTATTCATATTATACAAGTGAATATAACTTTTTATGTATTTATAAATATTAGTATAAATATACACATCTAGGATTTCTTACCACCTGCTGCACTATCCCTTCCAGGTGGGAGGTTTTTATTTTCAGGATCAGGTACTTCTGAATCCAAATTCCAGTGAGATAAATTCTAAAACAATATTTGTTTTAGGATAAACTTAATGTTAAAATTTTAAAAGCTTAAATACATAATTTTACATGTCCTTTGGGTAAAGTATAAAAAAAGGCACAAGGCTTCATGAGCCTCCCCCACCACCAATAAGGGTACTACCAGCTATTATCAGCTTGATTACAATTATTAGTCAGGAAATGGAAAGGCTTTTACAATAATTTATGGTTTCACTCTCATTTTGTTAAAAATAATGGCACATCAGTTTTCAGAATTGAGTTAAAAATATAATAAAATGTCCACCTCATGTCTTTGGTACATAACGGCAAATTCACCAAATCTTCTATACCTGAAAACCAGATCTGAAAGCCTATAAAATCTTTCCATCAACCAAAGAAAATTCTCTAACTCTCACATTATACTCAACATTGAACAGCCCACTACACATTTTGGACTACAGTTGTTGAGAAACACTCAGGAAGCACTCAAAAGAAAGTCAAAAAATGAGTAAGAAAATGTACTAACATTGATTGAGTATTTATATTCCGGACATTGTGCTGAGTGCTATGGGTAAAAGTGTGGGATGTGGAGGAGAGGATTGTAATAATTTATCCTGGAAAAGGGAACATGAAGAGGTGATTAGTTAATTTTTTTAAAAAGCACATTTTTTAGGAACAAACTCAGTTGTATTCTATCTCAAATGAGGAAATCCTTTGTAAATTAAACTCTAAGCAATACACAAATAAAATGTCAGGTAGCATTAGGTGTCATCTCCACACTAAGGAGGAACAGGGAGACATAATCCCACATATAGAATGAGGATTTAACTGATCCACAAGGATCATCTCCTGATAGGAAGGAGAGTTGAACCTTGGAAGGTAGGCTGTAGATTCTCTTTCTCTGGTAGTGTCTGAAAAATAAAATTAGTTAATTATTCACTGCTCTCTGAAATAGTATGTTTTAGATCTACTCTCTATGTAAGAATTACTTGGGGAGCTTTTTAAAAATAATACTCTGAATTCTGATTCAGTAGGATGAAGATACGCCCCAGTTATTTGTATTTTTAAAATGTCCCTGACATTCTTGAGCTCCTTTCAGCTATGTCTGTAACCCTGGCATACTTATGTGCAAAATAACGTGTGAGAACTATTCTTAAATTCTCATGGTACAGGGAGGCTGATGAACTGTGCTGTTGAGATCATGAAATCAAATTAATGTACCTAAGTTTGTCAATTGGTAAAGAAGGTCGTCAGCCACACATGATGCCAACTGGAGTGCAAACTCCTTACAGGTTGGGGGGAATTGGTCATTCTTTTTAACATCCCACCTGCTTTACCAATATTTTCCACAAAGTATGTGTGAGGAAATAAAACAAAATCCAATTGTAATTAGAAACATCTCAAGATTTGGAGAGAAGCCTAGTTAACTTCGCCTTTGTTGCAAGAAATAAAAATTTTCCATTTAATATTCCAAATGTGCCAAGAGGAAAATTCAGGACAAACTGCTCACAGAGAGACAGCAATAAGGAATCTCAGCAGTAAGATTCAATGGGGTTTAGATCTTAACCAATGGGAGCTGCTGCCCAAACATCCAAGGCCAGTAGCATCTACCATACCTCATGGCCAGTAGCATCTGCCATACCTCATGAGGGATATTTGACACACGCAGGTTGGTGCCGCAGTTCTCACCATTTCTTCTCCCCATTTTGCTGGCTTGTTTCCCTAAAATCCTATACAGGTTGTGGAACAGGCACATTTATGGGTAAGGTACAACACTGACTTTTAAAAAGCATGAACTTTGGCTTCCCATCTAAAGGAGGTGTAAAAGATATTTGGAAAGCAGAATACAGGGACTGTGAGGGTAGGGTGGGGGTAACGATGTAAAATCAACCAAAAACAAGGGGCAATCCAGACAAAAAAACGAGTAGGTTGGGGCATAGACAACAGCACACAGATCTAACGGACAGAAGGTTAGGAAATTAAGGTCTGAGGTGACGAAGGAGATAGTATCAAATAGGAAAATAAAATGCAAATTAGAAAAATAGGATGAATTATCTGGAACCTATAAAGCAGGGTCACGAACTCTGCTTTTAATCACTCAAAATAGGTACTCCATTTGAAAGCAGGCTCAACCCCACAAACTGGCAGGGCAAGGGCCCCATGAACGTTTCAGAGACACTGAAAGGTCCAGAGGACCAAACACTACCTTCCACACCAATTTACTGTCTCCTAGAGGGGAAGTTGCATCCTGAAGAAATGGAAAACACAGTCCAGGCAAGTTTTTAATCAGTGGGCAGTGACCCACCTGCTCTATGCCAGGCACTGGGGTGGAGGACTGGAGGAGGACGAGGCTGCTGCCTGGGGCCAGCCGGGTGTGTGCCCTGGAGGGCGCCAGGAAAAGGCCACCGCACCTGGGGGAGAGGCCCAGAGAGCCGCGGCCTTCGCGACTGGGAGTTGGGGAAGGAGCTTTGGAGCGGGGACGTGGGTGGCTGCAGAGAGGTGCCACTGGTGGTGCAGACCCTTCCCTCCCCAGCTGTGCAGGCCTCGGTGGAGAGAGCGCGGCCGCGGCCGGCAGGGGCGCCCGCCTCTTACCCCACAGCGGTGTCGCCGGCCCACGTGCGGTCTGCGTATCCCGGCGCGCTGCGGGCCCGAGGCCCGGGCCCCTCGGCGTACCGGGCGGGCGGCTGCACGGGCTCCTCTTCCGGCCCGGCCTTCCTGCAGCGGGAGGACAAGGAGGGCAGCGGCGGCGGACGGCCTGTGAGGCTCGCGGGCGAGCTTTCACCGCGGCCCGGTCGCCCGGCAACCACCGTCGAGCGTGGACACCCTCCACGGCCCCGCGTTCCACCGGGCCCACGGGTGTCCGTGGGTTGGTGACGGCCGCCCAGGCCCGGGGCATCTTAGGGGCGCCAGGCAGCCAGCCCCGCAGAATGGGCGACGCTGCCGAGGGAGGGCGCTGGGCCTCGAGTCCCCACCCACGCGCCCCTCTGGTCTTCCTCGGGGCGCCCCCGCCCCTGGGCCACCCTGGCTGGGTGGTGGCCAGAGGGCAGGGGCTCCGCACCGGCGGGGAGTGTATTGTTATATGTAAGTAAATACGTAAGTATTTACACATTTGTGGCTGCCATATATTTGTATATGTAAGTAAATGATGAAAATGTCAGATGCAGGTATAATAAAGCATTGACATTTGAGGAATTTTTTTTCAATCCTTTGCTGATGGAAACTACTGCATTCTGTTGAACACTAGCCCTAGATTCAACCCCCAAAATGTTTTTGTTAAGCATCTAAATGCACTGGTTTAACATTTAGGGGAAGGGATTCCATGCTCCTTTGGATATCTTCCCAGGAAAATGCACTTAAGAGTATATACCAGATGTTGAACACAATTTCGAGGGTTTCTCAGATGTTAGACTACCAAGTCCACCCTCCCCCCCAGGTGTTTGTCTTCCTCTGCAGTTTTATTTTCCTTTCAGAAGGCCTTTCCTGACTTCATTTTTAAAAAGCCTTTCCCACCCACATTATTCTATTTCATAACACCCTGTTTTCCATGTCTTATCTGTACTCCTCACGATCTTGTTAGTCTTCACTTCTTAAATTGTCTGTCTTCCCAGTAGAACATAACTTTCTATGAGAGCAGGGGCAGTATCTGTCTAGTTCATTGCTGAATTCTGATAACTTGAAACTGCTTGGGCACATAGTAAAAGCACAATAAATATAGGAGAATAATTATAAGATCAGACAATGCCTCTTTGGACGTCTCTCACCTAAGCACTCTCCTCCTTCACACTGTTTTCCATACTGTTGATCTAAAACAAATACCCTCCTAATGTCTAAAGAATAAAGTTCAAATTTGGTAGCCAGGCTTTCAGTGTCTGTGCATCACCTTCCCAGTGCCTACAATGGATCAAACACATCAGTTTCGCAGTTTTCCTAAGCACTCTCCTTCAGTACGTATATTATGTTTACTTTTTCTATAATTGCTCCTCTTTTTCTTTTAATCTTCTCCCTCCTTTTATCTGCCTAAGTCCTATTTATATGGATCTAGCTCACAAAACATCTTCCCTGATCCCTCAGGAAGAGTAAATTGCTACCTCTTTCAAGAACCCTATTTTGGATTATATTATAATGATTTGTTTATAATTCCTTACTTACTGTTACATTATAATTATTCATTTATAATATATTACTCATTTTCTTTTCAATGCCTTGAAGGCAAGACCTGGCCTTATTCTATCTAGCAGTGTGCTGGCATATACTAAGCACTCAATAAATATTTGAATTAATTTACTAAAACAATAACATTTGCTAGAGTGTATGGTGTGGTGATTATGTGCCAGGTATAAGTGAACCTTTTATACCAATTAGCTGATTTAATACTCTTAACCATACAATGAAATTGGTATTCCTATTTTATAAATGAGTAAACTGAGACATAAAAATGTTAAATAACGTTTCCCAACTTGTGAGACAAGAACAGGGAATTGGGTAAATATTAGGGTCCATGAATTTCCAGCTCATACTTTCTATACATATATCAGCAGGGAGTTTTTGTTCTGTTCTCTGGTTAGGAGACATGAATGTGTGTGTGTGTGCACCCGTGTGTTTCACACATATTCCCATCTTTCTTGCTTTGTGATTCTGTTTCTGCCGTTTTCTTTTGTTTCATAACTTGAGCTGATTCTTGATTCTTTAAGGTCCCTCTGAGATTTGTAATTTATTAATACATCTTCTAAGATTCTTTTTTTCCCCTTGACAGGCATATTTCTTAAACCTTTCCTTTTATCTCCACTTGCCTCCTCTTCCTTCCTCTAGAGACTTTTCGAACACTTTGACACTAACATCAAAAGCATGCACCCACTCACTTGTTGAAGTTTTTACTATTTACTATTACATGCTTAAAACTATAGTGACAGAATAGTCCTTGTACAGTATTTACAGGGGAGCACTCATGCTAAGTGGTGAGGAGACAAGGCTAAGAGAGGAACTAAATGTGAAATGTGAAATATAAGGGCAACAACTAGGAGAACGATGTTCTTTCCAAACCTTTGAGTCTGATTTGGCTCAAGTCCAGCCTTGAGAGTGAGGAGTTAGCTGGACAAGTAGGCTGTTTTCTGTAATGGGTCTGGTCCAGCATTAACATCAGTTGTTGGCCCAAAGGAGCACACCATCCTTCTAGGCCATCCCAAGGCACTCTGAGTAGTTCACTTTACAGTGGTAGGCCTCAGGCTTACCTTACTTTGAACCTGTACCTTTTTACCTAATCCGATGGAGGAGGGCAAGGCCAGTGTTCCCTGTCTCATGTCATTTAACAAGCTCTTGCATTAATTACAACAAAGGTAGTCTGAATTGGTGGAAAAGAAGGAAAGAAAGCCTTGGGCCAATTACCCATGCAGTAAGCATGCCTTACTGCCCAGCTCAGTTTCTCCTAATGTGACAAAGGTGGCATATTGACACCAGTTAACTATTTTGGAAAGCACTTTGATATATATATTTTTTTCATAGTCCAGAGTTATGCAAAGAAATGTCAGTGACAACATTGTTTAGTTTCTATTTACTCTGGAGGGGAAAAGCTTCTTTTGTTTCAGTCTACCTCTTTCAGTACTTCTCTCATTTTTACATTGCCTGTGCATTTGCCTCCACCTCCTTTTATTCTTCCCTACATCATTGCCAAGGTCATGGCTGGTCATAGAATCCTGTTCAGAAATTATGTATGTTTTTTCAGTAAGTGAGATCATTATTTTCTAGTTAATAAGTTTATTTTAGTTAATCTAGTTAATTTAAGTTAATCTAGTTAAGTTAATAAGTTAATCTAGTTAATTTTTGTTCTCCAGTGGATGCTAAATCAGTGGGGAACATGTCAACTCATTTATGAGCAGTTTGTATTTAGTGGCTGGTTTAGCTAACTTGTCTTTATTCCCTTTTCTGCTTTGTCTTTCAGTCATGGCCAGTTCTATGTATCCTTGATTCAGGACTCTATTTCTATGAGAATTTACCTTAACTTGTCTAACTTTCTCATGTTTGTACAGTTCCTTTTTTAGGAACATGAAATATTTTGTTAAAAGTTTTGTTTTTCTTTGAAAAATTAACCTTTATTATTATGTTCCCTTATTTGAGAGACAACCATTCTGTTGCAAAAATAGAGGAAATCTTGTTTAAATTTTATTCCTACAATGAATGTGATAGTGATATATATGAATATAGTTCCAAAAGTAAGATAAACACATCCATAAATTCTACATCTGCCTATGTTATAGTTAGTACTTTTGAATAAATTCTTAAGCATATTTCCACTTTTATTTAGATCTTTCTGAGAGACTTGATTTCTACAGTTTAAACTATTTTAAAACTCTTCTAGTCCTTCAAATGCCTACCTCTGTAATTGTGTTTCTTAGCCTTGCATTATGAATTTACTTTGAATTTTGATTTAAGTTTCAGGATCAGAACTTACTTTCTGGTGCCAGGAAAGCAGTAGCTTGGCTCCTCTTTCTGGTAGTCGGGACCCTCCCACTTCATTTGCTTTGAATGGAACACTCTCTTTAGGACACTTTCTTTAAGAAACTTGGAGATGATCTTTTCTCTTTGAACATTACTGAATACTTTGCCTTCTGGGAGCCAGCTGATCTTGTCACATTCACCATGGCAGAGGGAAAGCGGAAGTTGTTCAGGGGACACAACAACCCTCTTTGGGAGAGAGAGAGAGAAAGAGAGAGAGAGAGAGAGCAAGAAAGGGAGAAAGAAATTGCTGTTTATCTAAAAGTCATGATAAGAGATCTGCCTATCTAGAAAAACAGTCCGGAGTCCCACGGTTGCCCTGCTGAGGGACCAGTCTGAGCAGCGCTGCTGGCCCTTCACAGCCAACTCCTGTCACGAGAGGAGCAGTGCTGGCTTATGAGGGCTCTTTCTAATCTTGTGAGAGAATAAAAACATATTACAGACATAATTGTGAGCAGGTAAATACATGGGACCCTGAAGAATAGAATTAGAAGTAAGTGGAATACAAAGCAAGATTCAAATGGATTTAGTGCATTAGAGCATCAGCACCAGCCAGCAGCAGGGGTCGCCAGCCTCTGCGCTTGATGTTACTCCCATCCTGACCAGTGTTCTTTCCATCACACCAGTACTAGAGAAAATTAATACGGTTGATTCCTTGAAGAAGTCTTACCCATTACAAAAAAATTTATCCATCAGATAGTTTATTTAAAAATAAAATGTAATCATTGTAACCTACATGTGAATTCAGCCAGGGCCAATAAACTTCAGACACCTAGAAATATTCCATCAGTTGCTACTCAGAGTGATGATTAAAAATATATGGGTCAATTTCCATGGCATATAAAGAATCAATTTTAAGAGATCACTTCCTTGGCCTGTTGAATGGCTTAAAATATGGTTTGTTCTTTCTATTTATGTAAATGAAGATTTAGAGTAAGCACTCAGATTTGCTTGGAAGAAAGAAGCCCCTGGCTATCAAAATATTTTAACCTCCTGACCTCCACCAATTCCCTTCTCTCTCCAAAAACCCCCATGAAATTATGAGAATCACATTATATTCAAGTGATCCTGGTTAGCTCTATAACATATTTTAAATATATTTGCTTATTTTTTTAAAGTTTTACTTTTTAAGTTTGCAAGTTGAACATTAAGAAGTGAGACTGTGTCTCTCCTGCTCTGGGCACTGATGCTATGATATAATCATGATATTTTTATAGTCGCAACCAAA